CTCATCATATCTTCTAAATGTTCTACTAATATTGTCTGTCATAAAAATGAGGAACTACTTAAAGAATTTCAAACTTGTATTCTTATTTTGCAATCCAAATAGTACAGATTATAAACAGTCAGCTGCTCTGATATTTCGCCAATAGAAGACGACATGTTAAACATCGAGCTTTAAACTCAGCAGGATTTCCAAAAAGAACAACACGGCTGCCGATTAGCCAACAGACTCCACCTTGTGCCGTTCTAGGACTCTTATTTGACGTCTCCGTGCAACGCCACGACCTTCCCTTTTGTTGAAGTCCTGGTGTGAGCTCATCCTGCTGATCTGCTCTTTTAGTGCGGCCCCATGCAGGGGAGAACATACACACAGATGCACAAAAGGGGAGGGCAGACATCTGGTACATGAGAGCTATGATTAATAGGTTAATTAGAAATGGTGCTCTTCAGAGTCACTTTGCACATTACAACCCAATTCACACATGAAAGCGTTTACGTTGCGCTTTGATGCATACGTGATCCTGCTGAGTGCATGTGTCATCCGGCCTTCAACCAATCAGAAGGACCCTTAACCCATTTGGGTGTTACTGATCAGAGTCATTTTCCTATCTGATGGCGGAGCAGCAAAGAGGCTGGATAGGGCTTGATTGTTTTATCTCTTCTCCCCCAAAAGAGCTGAGCTAGCGAGTGGGACTGCCCGCCTTCACAGACGCGATATCCAATTCCTCTATGTCAGTGTAATTTACTTCTTCCGACGGCTCTCTGGAGCTCCTCTGCCAACGCGCACGCAATGCTAACCCGGCGCCACCAGAGGCTAAGAGGTTAGCTGAAATTTGCTGTGGTGCTCTGGAGTCAGATGTTGAAATTCAATGACCTGTCAGAGGTTTTGACAGAAGCAGCGCCGGCTTGCTGCTTTACATTATTTTTATATTCCGAAGAAAGAAACAGAAAAAAACAAACAAACAAAAAAAAAACAGCTTAATACTCTGGCGGGCGTCGCTGAATATTTAGAGTCTGCCATTGACACTTTGATGAGTGAAGTCTCTGGAGTTGGAAATTTGCAACACCGGACAGATATTTTCGAGAGCAGAGCTCATGATGGATTGCCATTTTGTCCCTTGCCGAATACTTCATTCCTCCGAACGCGTTTTATCAGGGGAGAAGAGCATTACACTAAATTTGGCTTCAGGTCTTTGATGTATTCGCTTTTTGCCGTCTCGTCTCTCCCGGCTGCGGTAATTGCAGCGCGGGCCTGTTTAGAATCCCTGATGTTCTGACTGCATAAGTAATACGGATCATTATCTGGTCCGCGGCGTTGCATTAAGGAATTTAGCGAGCGGCGAGCCGATCTCTCATGAGTGAAGCCTGAAAGGAGACTTCGCCATGATTTCTTTTAAACATGAAAGTATACAAATTTATGGGCTCCTGCAACTCTGTAATGATGCATTATGGATGATGAACACGCTGCCTGTGTGGATCATTCTTAGATTTGAGCCAATCGAGTATGTCAGAGTACATGATGTGCTTGATCTGAAGTAGTTTGATTTGTCATACTCACCTTAGAACACTTTATATAGTCAACCCCTACCATTTTTTATTTGTCCTTTAGAAAGCAGAGAGAGCACTCAAGAATTGCATAACTGTCTGTTCTACTTTGCAATAGAACAGACAGTTATGCTGTCTGTTCTATTGGTGATATTTTACTTTTAAACCTCCTCTGGGCACGCAATGTTTGTCCTAAAACAAATATTTTAGACACTTCTCTGTGTGCAGACAAGCGGTGAAGGGTTGCAACAATTTCATAAGGTTTCAGATCACGATTCAAAGGTGCTGTGTGTAACATGTTTTTTTTTTTTAAGATATCTGCTCAAACTATCACAATTTCCTGACAGTGACAAAAACAACTAATCAGAAACAGGAGAAGGATCTTAGGGCTCCCAATCAACCTCACAAACAACTTATTGCTACAGGAAAAGTAATCCATCTTCACTGGTGGCCATGCTAACTAGCCTGAGTGCACTAGAGTGTGATTGACAGCGCTAAGACCCACCTCCTGGCTCTGATTGGTAGTTTCTGATAGAGCTGTGAATTTCTGCAGGTAGCAGTAGGACAACAACAAGGTGATAAAGAAGCACTGCCAGCTGAAAAAAACAGAAGGCTGCTTGTTTCTCATACTTAAGACAAAAGTCACATTTTTCCATTTAGCAATTCTTTTAGTCACACTAAACAGAGAGAAGACGCATAAAAGAAAGTAGCATCACTTTCGTAATTTGTTGTCGGCTGTTATTAATGTCATAAAATTGAGTGCTTTTACTGATTTGGGTGACTTCACATAATGCAGTGTGCCAGAACCCCATTAGCCTTCCATTTCTGCCATATTACGTAAAAATGATGCATTGCTGGAGTTTACAAGAATGGTCTAAACTGCTGATGCAGAGGAGAAGTCAGCCTTTTCTTATTATCAATGTGAACAGTGTCTCAATAATTAAATGCCGTCACTCACGCAGGGATGATGACACCAATATGCATATTTCATCTCAGAACACTGGTTTAACGCAAGCGGTCCGATCACAAACTGGTTGAAGGACGATGTTTGTGGTTTTAGGAAAATTAGAGGAATTTGTTCAGGTTCTGAAGCAGCTCCAGAGTAACACACTACTGCCAACGTGTTTTCTTAAAAGAAAACAACTTTTCTATTGGTGAATCTTGATTATTGGCCTTAAATGAGGCAAACGAGGCCTGAAGTGTTTTAGATGTTGATTAAAGTTCTTTTGTGGCCTTTTGTGTGATTTTGCTCGGTCAGTCACTTCTGGGAATGTTGTAGTAAAATATTATGGATAATCCATAAAAATGTCTTTGCAACCATTTTACAGACTCATAGACGTCAGTTCTGGACAGTTCCTGAAATTATTGAGAATATGGTAGTATCTGTGTTGGCATTGCCCTCAAAAATAACTTTTATAGACATTTGAGTCGGTATGAAGACAAGCTTTCTTCTTCTTCTAAAAGTAAACTAATCTCAGTGAGGTCATCCTAACTGACTAGTCTTGTATGAGTGAAATAAGGTGCACACCTACTTGTTGTGTAGCCAGTGGTGGATGCAGCTGTTGCCAAGCCTTCCGATGCCCTCCAAGACGTCTTTGCCCATGTCTGCTTCAGCTGCTCTGCACAGCGAGCGGGGCCTCCGACACCCTCATGACCCCTGCCGACCTGCAACCGAGAACGACGAGGGAGGGAAGGGAGGAGTTAGTGTCGGAGTGGTGGAGTCAGAGGTCAGCCACAGCGCTGTCACCGAGTTCAGGCGGACTGACAGCGGTCAGGGTGTCAGCAGCCCTGGAGGGTTCGCGTGTCGGAGGCGGGAGGAAAAGGGAAAAGTGGTGGCGAGTGTTTATTTCTGGGCCTGTGCGTGCCGCTGCACCATAAATAATGGATGAGCACAGAGATTGGGGAGCGCTGCCGAGGCAACAGGAGAAGGCACCCCCTGCCAACCTTGGAAAAACCAAGCATGCAGACATTCAGAAAGCAATGGGTAAAGATAACATTACTGCCAGTGGGTGGCACATAAATTTCATTTTGTCCAGCAGACAATATCTTTTCCTTTTTATGTCCAACAATGCGCTGGCAGAGGGAGGCAGACATCTGGGACCAACAGAATGAGTGGAGATGCACCAATCAGCTTTTTCTGGATACGGATTTGTTGTCGGGAATAAAAGACGAAAGGAAAAACAATCCTCCAGGTTCTGTGATAGGAAGGAAATTAAGATTCAAAAAGAAAACAGAGGGTTTACTACATTAATTCCAGCAATCAATCTATTGAATACATCTCTACACTTTACTTGATTTTTATTATTAAATTAAGAAACATCAGCACTGACTTAAACGTTTGCAAACGAAACAACAAGAATTTAATTAGGTGCAATTCATGAACAAGAAACTTGTGCAGTTTCCATCTTTAGTCAATTGTCAAATATGTAATTTATTAACACTGCTCAACATTTGCATTACAAGTTTGACATTATGACTAGAAAGGTGGCAACCAATCAGCAGAGATCGGAATCGGCTCAGCCACTCAGTGACCCCTCCCACTTCTCCACCTCTATTTCTATTGGTTAAGTGCATCAAAAACATAACCTACCAACATTCACTACCCAAACACAAACTAACATGAACACTGAAGCAATATTAATTAAAAAAAAATAATAATTCGAGCATAAGAGACGTCATTTAATGTGTCAATGGGAATAATGCGATTTAATAGGAATGCACCGATATGAAAATTACACCACCTGAATTGCTTTTCTGCTGTAACTAAACACTCCCATAATCCTGCGCTGCATCGCCATCACATGACTTAAACATGTGACCCACCACCTTCCCACCCAAAACACCAACAGCAACAAGGTGGAAGTAAACATTGGTCACTAATATCTGCACAGTTTTACTTATCGGCCCGATAGTTATATGTTAAAAAATGATTAATATTGGCTCAGTTTTACTTATTTCTGGTTAAAAGAGGTGGATCTATCACAAACATCAGATTAAGTCTGAAACAAATCAAATCTATTTTATCGCCGTTTACAAAACATCTTAATAGATCGTAGTCTAATAAACTGCAGAAGCTTTCTGATTGTTTTTTTTCTTTAAGTGTGACGTCGTTATTGAATAACAAATACATGACTGAATTGCTCCAGCTCATATGTTCTCCTTTCTTGGCCTCTGTCTCCATGACTGATCTCCATCTCTGCATGTTCCTGATCTTTATGCAAACCCCCCTCCTCCCAAAACTACTCCAGAATAAAGAGCCCCACCCCCTTAATCGGTGCTCCGTTATTGGAAAGCACCTAGTACTTCCTAAAAACTACCTTGAGTGGGAAGCTCTACGCACTCTTGCCTTGCAATGTGAAGTGATGTCAGCCGTGTCTGAAATGGAAATATGTTGAATCTTTTTGTCTGTGTTTCTGCGCCGTCCTGCATCGCTCAAGAGTGAGAAAGTCCTTCCTACAGCGGCGCGGTCAAGTCTGACTGCGGGCGCTCCAGGTTTTCTGAGCAGACGTTGCAGCCTAGGCTTAGCTGGATGGTTGCAGGACATCACACTGAGCCTCTTTGTGTGTGTGTGTGGTTCATAATGCACCCCAATTCGCTTGTTAAAAAAAATGTTTTGACACACAAGACAAGGAAGCAGGGAAGCATCTCCCCCCGTTTGACAGGAGATCAACAGCTCCCAACAAGCTCTCGCGCTGCAAAAGCCTCCTCACAATCTCACGCGGTGGTGAACTTGTAGCAGCGGCGCGATGCCTGCCACAGCGCCGTCTGGCATTGTACTGGGGCTGACAGGGAGTGGCTCATTGGTATTAAAATCACCGCAGAGTGCAGCGCCCTTAAAGAGGCACCGCTCTGTGTCACGCCGGCAGCCTTGCGTACACCGAGATGCGTCAAAAACTCTGCCATCCAGTTAAACACGCGGCACGCATTTGTGACCGCATTGAAATGCAAATACGCACGATGGGGTCAATCTGGAAATGATTAATTGCGATGTGAAAGGAGAGAAATCATGCCCAAGAAGCGGTGGGTCTGGCTGCCGCGCAGCATCAGGGTCAAATTTGGTTTGCAAATTGGTGTGAGTGCAGCCATCAGCCGAGCTAAATTAATCAAACACCAGGGCTCTCCTGTTCAACAACAAACTAGTGAGAAATTTTTCCATCACTCTGAAGAGCTGAAGAGCCTCTTGCACACTCCACTACTTATTTTCCTTCCCCATTGCACATCTCTCTCTCTCCTCTAAGAGCTGACCTTTCCCTCCCACACCTCCGCTTCTCCCTGCTCTTTTCTGCTCAGCTATGCGTGGATCGGAGGCGATAACCAGCTCTGCTTGAGCTGGAGGACCCTCGATACCCTTCCTCTATCTGCCCTGGTTCTATTCTCAGCGGAGAGCGAAAAGGTGAGTTGATAAAAGAAAGAACAGGAGGGCAGAAAGGAGTGAGCCTTAACCTTTGTGAGCAAAACAGCCGGGCGTGATAAAGACAAGGGAAAAAAAGGGAGGGAAGCACTGGAAAATAACTCAACAGGAAGAGATTGATTCAGTAGATTGGTATGAGAACAAACAAGTGACTTTTTAAACAAACTTTTCATTCAACCACCAGAAATCCAACAAAGAAAAACCTTTAATTTTTACATTAACTGCCCCTTTACAAGTACAAATGCACCAATCAGGAGTTCCTCTCGCTGATACCGATTTCAGAATTTCTCAGATCAGCTGATTCTCAGGTCTTTTTTGAATTAAAGCATAAAATAAATAGGAAAAATAGCCTTTGATAAAGAAGTACATTAAACCAATTTAAGTCCCTAACTGTTTTCTGATTTCTATTTGACTCAAAAAGTTCAAAATACAAGTTTACTGTATTATTCATAAACAAAAAAGACAGATTTTCTTCGTTTTGATGCATTTAACCAAATGCTCAACGACCACAACAGCTCAAGTGAAAACCGACCACAGTTCTGATCTCTGACTGCTTCACCAGATGAATATCAAAAACCACAAAAAAAACAAAAAAAAATTCAGAATAACGTTGCAGATTGCATGACGCGGACCAAGACGAATAAAATCAGGGCTCAAATAAACAGTTAATTAGCTTCCTAATGCTGGTTCGCAGACATGACGCTGCAATAAAATTGATTTCAGCGTTTTGCCTAACTGAGTAACTAATCTCCCATTTTCCAACCATTTCTGCTAATTGCGGCGCAAAGGAAAAGCACCAACTGGGGAGAAACGATTAGGGTAGAGCCGGGGAAATTATATCACTTTCATACTGCGCTCTCTTCAGTTTCAGAGAGACTCAGGCAAAGGGAAACTTGCACGTAATACGGGGGGGAAACGGGCACAAATGAGCCCCTAATTGCGTTGCTTGCTCTGCCTTCAGGTTGCATCTTGCAGCAGAGGTGCAGGCAGCACTAATAAATTAAATCCACAGCAGAGCATGTAGGTAATCCATTATCTATCCCATAACAGAGCTTCCAGGGAATATCAATCTGGGCAATTAGAGCAGAGACAATAAACAGAAAAAAAAGAAAAACCTGACATGCAAGTCTAGCAGTTTTTAACCCCACAGAGCTCTTCAGAGACGAGAAGAGAGAGTCATTAAAAGTCAATTTGCAGACAACACCTGCAGAACAAACATGGGAAAACCAGGAGAGACAGGAGGATGAGCTTGGCTGCGGAACAATGCAGAGCGAAGCCTCTTATTTGCTGATCTTGGTTAATTATCCTGCTAATGGAAAGCAGATGCACCCGCTTGCAAACTAGCCAAGAGAGTTCAACACACCAGACTGAATGAAAAACAAAAACACCACAACGCCAACGCTTCACTCTTTGCACAAACCAGCAACTTACACAGCCGATTGAAATCAATTTTCTGCAAAAACTTGGAAGTTGGCGAGAAGAAGGATGAAACAGAAATGTTTGCGTCAAGTAAAGCATGCAAGGTCAATATCTGAGGCTGGCAGGTCATACCTGCGTGCCCGGCAGCTCTGCCCTCCATCCCGTCTGCCGTGCAACCGTTTAGTTTCCATCATACGGGAGGCGCAATCTGCTGGAGAGGAGGCTGGAGTCGCCTCCCAACCGCCTGCTGCCTCCTGCACTCCTGCTCGACTGAGTGCGAGCGGAAGACGGAGGAGAGGAGAATGTAGTGGGAGACGACAAGGGGAGGAGTGGGTGTCACAAAGAGAGAGAGCAGGGAGGAAAGGAGGGAGGGAGGAAGAGCACAAGTCTACCTGCCACAACCCATCAAGCCAGTCAGCCTTGGAGACAGAGCCAAATCAACAGCTGGCCCGTGTGATGTCAGAGCGCCAGCAGCCAGTCGCTGTAGCCGAGGGACGGCCGGCGATACGGAGCGCCGACTGAACCAAACTCGCTAGCTAAATGGGGCTCTTCATTAGCTACTCTGCTTTAGGATGGGGGTGGGAGGTAGAGAAAGGAGGTGGAGGAGAGGCCAGCCGGGTACATGGGATGGATTGAAGGAGACTGAGAGGAAGAAGAGGGGAGAAACCGTCAGGGTGGGAGGAGAGCGAGGCGGGCGGAGAAAAAGAGAGAACTAGAAAGCAAAAAGGACAAGGAGAGGGAGAGAGCCAGCTAGGTGCGCCACGACCAGGTGGAGAGTCGATGGGGAGGCGTTGGCTGCTGCGCGGCCGAGCTGTTCTGTGGGCTACCTTCCCATTAAAGCTGGCACCCTGCTTTTCCACACTCAGACAGCCAACACCTGAAATGAAACACCCCCGCATTTCCTCTAAATCTACATTTAAATATAGCAGAATTAAAAGAAAGGCGATTGATTATTGTGTCGGAAAGCGCTAATATCCGCTGCGACGACGGCAGCTCCACTTCCCAAAGCGCTCTCGTCGGCGACTTACTGACAAGCTGTCAAAGACAAACAGGTCCAAGTCTAGACTGCCATGATGTGATTGTTTTCGTCCCTTTCAGCCGCGCCGACTTTAATGGTAAAACACAGTGGGCGGAAAAAGTTCCTGCTGTCACTTAGCAACCAACATCCAGGCTGCGACAAACGATCCGATCCAAGCCTGCCTCGTAATTGTACCTTTCGTTATGCCAGGTCTCGGAAGAATTTATTATTGGGCTTTCTTAATCCTGTGAAAAGGTCAGCAATTGGACAAACAATTTATGGACAGGCGGATGAATTATTTAATGGGCCTAGCTCCCCTCACACAACCAAATATTAGAGCCAGGAGATCTCCCCCCCTTCCTCCAAGGGAGGCGATGAATAATTTAGTCATCAGGGGCCACATCTTTGGTGAAAGCTATTACACGGCAACCTCAACCTCAATATGTGATAATGTCATTGGCGGTAAATTCGCTCTGAACTGCGGAATGAGTGGTCAACCGAGCCGCCGCGGCAACTGATCGGGCAGCCGCAGGGCGAAGCTGTCGGGGCAAGCGATTATTACCATTTATTTCAAGCTTTAGAAGGGCCTGTTCTACAGATTGCACACAATCACATGAGGCCATTTGAGCTATGAATTAGCACATTTCAATAGTGCACTCAACATGGGTGAAATAATTGCTTATATTGATGCCACTTGTGGAAAAATATCTTCAGTGAGTGTTATATACAGTGCTGGTGGTGCAATAAAAATGATCGCATCATGACGCTTAGCCTCATTTGTGGCAACTCTTGAGCTCTTATAGCCGTCTCTGTCAATTTCTGCAAACTCAATGAGGCAATAATTATCAGGGTTGGTGCATCTGCTTGATAGCAATTATAGCTTCCTTTTTAAGCAAGTATAAATTTGGGTTATGGGATTCCTGATTTATGGCCCATGAGGAGGATAAAGATTCACTATAAGCCACCTTTTACTGGCCAACATTAAGATGAAGTCCATAATGAAGTACTAATGTGTCTTTTATTTTAAGTCCACAAACTCTGGCTCACTTCTAAATTAAAATGTGAGCAAAGCTTCTCTATGTCTGTGGTTACAAGGTTTCCCCACAGAAAACTTGCTAAGCTTGGTGGTTGGGTCCCATCATGTTTTTGAGTTAAAAAATGTTTGAAGTTGACAGGGAATTTGAAAATAACACTTGACAATTATGTGCTATTGGAAGATTAATATCTGAACACCAACTATGAAGTCTTAAATATGCAAACATTCAAAAAAGACTGAAATACATAATGCTAAGTCTGATGGGGGGCAGAAATAAAGCCTGGTTGCCCACCAGGCTTATAAGACACTGGGGGAAACCAAAGGTTGTTTTTCAGGCACTTTTCCTGAAAATAATAATAACAGATAAGCAATAGTAATGTTTTTTTTCATGCTTTCACAAAAACCTAGAATTTTTTGTTCATGATTTGATTTCAACAAAATCTCTCATTCTAAAAGGTTATAGTTTCTAAGAATAGTTCAGCAATACTCCTCCCTGAACTATTGCTGCACACTACCAGTCAGATGGCTGAAAGTAGTTTCCACCCCCATCACTTAGTTTTTGGTCACAAAGAACATGCAAGTGGTTTATCTGTGGATGATCTAAAAATCAGCTGGTTGTAACTCTGAAATAGTTAATTCTCTAATATTTTACATATTAAATCAAAACAACAAATACCACCATTACAGTACAACACACAAAACTTAATAATTAATACAGGAAATTATTTTTGTTTGTTATTTTTACTGGCCAATGCCTCCATCTCTATCTGTTTATTTGTATTTGGTGGTACCTTCACTTGTGCAAAAACAAGTTGTTAACAAAACAAACTTTCTAATTAAGTTAAGTGAATTACTGCCACACAAAAGGCTGTTCCAAAACAGCAACACCACCAACCTCCATTAAAACCCATGAAAATTAAATTGTCTCTCTGCCCTGAACAAGTTGAAAGAACCACAGATTTGTATGAGGTTTTTATTCCTTAAATAAAAATGTGACAATATTTCGGGAACGTAGCATCTGTCCAAACATTTAAGAAGGTTAAATAGGGCCATATTTCTGAAACGGACTCAAACAGCGATGCAGCAACTAAGGTGGGAGTCGATGCAGGCCTAAAAGTTGCTAAAATATATTATTTCATAACTGCTGTTTGGTTTTCCAGAGGGGATGTAGATATAATTTATCCCCGTTTCGGACACGTGTACAATTTTTGTTTCGAGGTGTTTTCTTCGTACACAGCGCGCACCATTTTGGCGTTGGTGGATGTCGGGGCTAAGCTAACGATCCTTACCTGGCACCGCGGCGTGCTAACGGCCAAACACCGGCGCCCTGAGCTGTCACACAGCACCCACCAGCCCTGCTTCTGGCTAACTAGCTCCGGTTTCAGCACTCAAACCATAAACATATGGTCATTAACAAGTAAAGTGTGTGGCGGGATGCGGTACGTATCTTTTAACGTTGCCTTACCCGCTTTGATTTAACTCGGTGATGCAGCCGTTGTTCCCTACCGATGGTGAAGTAGCTACTGTTTGTGGCGGAGTGAAGGAGGATCCAGCGGACAGCAAGCTGCCTGTACGTCAGTTCCTCACGCTGCACACGTACGGCGTTCAAAATATGTCACGTCTTGTCGTAAAACAAGTTTTTCTTTTTCCCCCCCTCTCACTTACAGTATGCTAGCAAGCGTGGAGTGGACTTGTCCTTTTTTCTTTTTTAAATACCGCCAATTGTTTCACCTTTTTTTTTTAAGTGAATGGAAGCTGCTTACAGTTTTCAGTTGAGCTGTGTCGTAAAAAGACACTTTACGACGGCAGTGACGTAGGCGGATTTTGAGCGGAAGTTGCCGCGAAACTGTTTCGCGTGAGTATACACATTGATTACAACGTTTTAATATTATTTTGATGATTTTATAGACAAAGATAGTAATGTTGTCTTCTGTCTGGTAAGTTATGTAATCGAAAAATTGCTTGTAAACAACCACTTGGAATCTTTTAAATCTCTGCTTGTCTTGCAGAAGTAAATGTATGTAAATAAAAATATGCTGTGTTCTTCACAAAATCTGGAGCTGTAAAAATAAATTATCGCGTGGATTCTAAGTTGATATTTTATTTATTATGCGTTTATTGACTTAATAAACCACAGTTCATGCTTAGACTGAAAAGAACACAGGGTGGTTCCCAATCGTGGGTTCGGGTGCCCCCTTTGAGTCGTGAAAAATCAGCTGTCGGGTCCTGAGGTGACATATTGATCATCTTTTATTACAGAGCTAATTTAAATATGGTGATCTGGATTTAGATTTTGTCTAAATCCTAATCATATTTGACGTGACTCAATAGTAAAAAAAGAATAGTTTCGATTTTGTTTGAAGTGAGATTTATGTTAGTTCCTGCAGTAGGCTAGTCCTGAAATTATTTTATCAATTAGTAAAAAATGTATTGTAATTATTGCAATAATTAAAGACTTGTACTATTGAATATTTAGAAAAAAATATTTTTTTCTAAATTATCCTTAGCTGTGCCTAAGGATAACAATTCGATTTACCGTAGTTTCCGGACTATAGAGCGCACCTGATTATAAGCCGCACCCAGTACATTTTTAAAGGAAAAAACATTTTGTACATACATAAGCCGCACTTGTCTATAAGCCACATGTGCCTACATTGAAACATGAGATATTTACAAATCTTCCTCGACACATATATTCCACCTGTGTCACTCTTACCTTTTCTGTTCGAGTGCCTCTGGCAGCCGTTAGAAAAAATGCATAAATTAGCCACATCATTGCAGAAGCTGCAGGTTTGAAAGCGTGTGACAAAAGTCGCAGCTTACAGCCGGAAATTAGGGTAAGTTCACCTCAAAACCTGGTAGTGAAATCATACTCAGTGATACCAAAATGTGATTAATCAGATTTAATGTCTGATGTAACAAGCTCTTAAATATCATTTGTTAGCTGAATGTTAGTTTGGAAAGCTTTTTTTCCCCTCTCCAATAAATTCAATCATGACTTAAAAACTGCATGATGTAATTACTCAGGTTAACTTTGTCTGACATTGAAATTAGTCTGCTTGTATTTTCTAGATTTGAAATCGCATCCTTCTGCCAGCAATGGAGGAGAGTGACCCACAGAAATCTGACTGTGACACAAGATGGTCACAGCAACTGTCAGGACTTCCTCCAAAGCTTCTGCAGCGCCTGATGCCTTTTCAAAGGGAGGGAGTGGAGTTCGCTTTGTCTAAAAATGGACGGTGAGCGACTTCATCCTCTGGATTCTTCAGGGCAGTTATTTAGGGAGCTGTACATTATCCTCGAAAGAGTCCTCACTTTGTTTGCAAAATGAGCCTCGGCGTTTAGGTTCTCCATGTTTTCCTGTGTTCAACATAAGCTGCACTACCACACTAGGACTTGTTCATTTCATCCTCCGCTCCAGTTGGGCGGAGGGTCAACCTACAGGGAGCAAATCCGAAGGCTGCTGCTGGCTTTGAGCAGCTGTATTGATTTAGGAACACTGGAAGACTGGGCTTTCTGGCACGGACAGGTCAGGGGTCAATTTGCTCTCTCTGCACAGTGCAGTCAGCTACCTTACTCGACTGGCATCAGTGTGACTGCAGGGAACAAATAGATATTGTCTTAGATGGCACAGTGCTTCAGCTAAACATAATTAATGATTTAAAAACCGATATTAATCTATATTAAAAATAGCTTTTTTAAAGTTTTTTTTTTTTTTTGCATCAAAACAGCTGAATTGATTGATTTTAACTAGAATGACAGCAATTAAGTTAATAGCAGAAGTGTGACCGCTTCATCATCTTCATAGAGATGCGAAAACTAAAGCTGATGATCAGCAGAATTTCTTGCAGAAAGAGCATATTTATACCGAACCGACAACAATTTAGTGGAGCTGTAAACTTGCTGGGTTTTTAAGAAGGGAGGGGTTAGAAGATTTCTTGAAAATACAGAATATCACCACCTGAAATGAAGGTACAGTAGACATGACAAGCTGACAGCTGAGAAATAAATGGCAGCCTGTCATAAAATAGCTCCTGAAATGCACTGCACATCATATACTGATGTAAGATATCTACCAGCGTAGGAAGATCCGTGGGTGGATTTTTTTTTTTTTCCTCTCGCAGCCATTGTGTCTCTCTCCACATCCAGAGAGCTTCAAGTGTACCGAAGCAAAACATCAAAATGTTGTTGCAAATTCAAAATACTTGCGGATCCTGTTGGATCGGCTTGTGTGGGAGGGCGAGTGAGTTTTATGGAGATAAACGGGGTGGAAAGTGTAAAATATGTGGCTCGGCGCGACAATAAAAAAAAAAACAAAGCAGTTGTTGATTGAATTGTTTGAAAAAGTTGAACCGAAGTTTGATACTAAAACAATCCATTATTGTTTTTCTTTTTTCTGACTTAGCTTGCAGCCAGATATTTGATGAAGCATATTTCTGAGCTGCTCTTCTGTTGAGTAGGGAGGGAGTTGCTAATGTGGCGATAGATCAATGCTTTTCCTTTGCATCAAATTTGTGGTATTATATGAAATATTAGTCCTAACATAGAATCAGTATTGAGCTTCCCATTTCAGTCCTTTAGGCTAAAGAGGCTCATCGGATTAGAAGAAGCAATAAATTGTAAATACATATTTCTACAAATGCTAAGTGATCACCAAGTTGTCATTTAAAAACAGGTTGGTGATAAAATGTAGATAATAATAAAAACAAATAGCTTCTCTAGCCGTTTTTGGTATGGTGTAGTAATAATATACCGTATTCATCCTTCAAAAACAAATTATACAAACATCTGTTTTCTTTCGTATCTTCCAACAATTCATTCTGATTATTTTTTACTGTTTTACCTGATTGATAATAACAAATGCTTAATTGTTGGGTAAAGCTATTTTCTTTTCATCTAAAAACATTTTTTGTCTCATAAAGATGTGCCAAAACCAAATCTGATCTTAAATCAGAAGATTTTTTTTTGCTATTTCTAGTTTCCCCATGTAACTGTAACTCAAGTACAGGTGCCCCAAAATATCAGTCCAGATTTCCTTAATTTTAGGTGATCTGGCAATATTTAAATGAGAAACTGTTGTCATATGGATATGAACTGACACATTGGTACAAACAAATGAGCCAATTCAATAATGTAGTAGAAATTTGGATTTAAAGACACAAACATGATGAAAAATTGAAACTTTTCAAGATTTGAAAAGGTGTGTGCTTTATATCTTTTAATCTTCATTCAATAATTTATTTTGTCAAATATTAAAAGCAAAGATTCAACGAGTAGCTACCAGGAAAATATTGTGCTTTAGGACCATTCTTCAAATCAAATACATTCAAATTAAATTTTTCCTAAACTCAACAAATTCTACACAGACAATAACAAAGGAAAAAGGAGCAGTATCTCTTGACCAGAAGAAACTTTTGATTTAATAGATACAAAATCAAACCGGTAAATGGAATAATAGAGATAAAAACTAAATTCGGGGGATGCTAACTTATAAAGGTCCACTAATACCTCCTTCCTTGCTCCATCTTTTGATTTGATGTGTTAAGTTTGATGTTCTGTGATAGACATAATGGTGAAAACATAAAACTCAACCTCCTGAAACACTTTATTATTACATTATCCATTTTAAGAGTCGGTTTCATTTGTAGAACATCTTAGCTGTAATCTGGGTCATTTATCACCAGCAGCAGAATTGCTCTAATATTGTAAATAGGAAAACATCTCTATTATATTCTCAAGGTGCCTCACTTACAGTATTTACTTTCCTAACACTAAATTTCATCCCTTCCTAATAAGGCATGAAACTTGTAATGGCTTTTTTATTATAATAGGATTTTCTTGGTCTTGTGTAGACAGCAGGAGATGGATTTTGTTAAACAGCATGAAAAATTTCACTCACCATAAATTACCCAAAGCCTTAATAGGCAAGCTAACAATATTTGGACAGTATCCATCCAGGACATTAAGAGGTTTATAGAGAAGCTACACATCATAAATAAATGTTAGAGCCTACTGGGCCTCTATTGTGCATTAGAGAAAATAATTATTTTATTTAGAGGCACTTAACGCATATCGCAAAAAAAATGGGAGTTAGAAATTATGTTCACTTAGCTTTTGTAGAAATATGTATTTCTCAAGTAAATGCATCATTACTGAGCCTTTAAGTTCTTTAATGTACTGTGGTAAAAACAAAAGAACAAGATGTATGATTAAACATTTACACAATGCATCAAGACCGTTATGCAACCGTATTGTTACGTCAACAGTGATGAAGAGGAAGGTTGTGCTTGATGATGGTTACTTAAAGCTCCATTATAACACAAGCAGATCTCTTTTCCATTTCATTCTGACATGGGTCAGAATGAAATGGAAAAGAGCAATAAATTAATGTGCTCTGATTATTGAACAAGTGATATTTTGGAGTAGATCTCCACTGTAAAGCAATTTTTCTCTTTAAAATAAAAACATATTCATCAAATCAACTACCAGGTGTTTGTTTTAAGCCCCGCCTTTTGCCCAAATATGGTTTCTGGTTGCAGAAAGGACATTTTGTCTCTAATGAATAGATCTTATATATTGGAGTATCATAACTAAATTTCCTTACAATGTAAAAAAAACTAAACAAAACATATCTTTGACGTTAGCAGGTTAGCACTGATGTAATATAATCTGTTTTTCGATGCCAACTGTCTGTTTCCGTTGTTTGCGAATAGCTTGATACATAATCTAAGAATGTACTTTATGTAAATATCAAGCTTATTAAAGTTAAACAAGCGGGAAACTTGATCCTTGAGCAAATGTTGCCTGAGAGTAAGAGGAAAGGAAGACGCAGCGAATGAGTTTCAGAGCACAAGAACCAACTTTTTTTTACACACCATTAAAACCCTTGCAGGGTTTTCTGCTCAGATCTTTGTGAATCCAGCGTATGGACTTCACTCTGAACCCTGAACGTGTGCGATATCCGAGTGGGTCCAAACATGGAGTCAGCCTTTTGTCCGGCATCCCACACTCGCCAGAGATCACTGCAGGTCCGGTCCTCCAGAGGAGAGCCTTTTTTTTTTTTACCTTGGCTGGAAAATTGGGGTTAGACACGGGTCCGCACAACACATCACCGCATAGAGGTCAGAGCCATCAAATCAGCGCGGCCAGCTTGGGAGGCAGCGGAGCCCATTTCCTGACACTTTGGGGCTCGTGGGTTTCGGAGATAACATTAGAAAGATGCTGCGACGGGGCGCGTGCCGTCGTCAGGCAACAGCTCCGCAGTGCGCTCGCAGTCTCAAACCGTCAAGACGACACTCAGGTTATTTAAAGGAGGATGATTAATGTGTTGAGAAATGGCAAGCACCTGCCCCAGCCACACTCCCTCCCGGGGTTGTGTGTGGGTGTGTGCGCGCAGCTACATTTATGTATGTGCCGTCTTGGAAGAGTTGGTATCAGTGTGTGTTTCCACTTTATATGCCTTTTGTTTGCACTTTTCACACACATACAGGAGCTGGAGTGTGTGCGCGCGTGCTCGTGTGTGTGTTTGTGCATTGCGCTGACTGAGCCGGTGTGTTGGCAATTAGAAAAACCACCAGTGGCAAGGTGCACATTAATCATGTTCCTCAGCTGAAAGAGAGAAATGGGGCGGAGATGGGAGGAGGAAGACGAGGAGGAGGACTAGAGAGAATAATGAGCGACTCAGTCTGAGGTATTCAGAGGTGCTCTGTTGCACCGCTGCTGGTGACACCATGTTGGAATCATTTATGGAGGGGAAAAATAATAAAAAGGAAGGTCATGACAATGGGCTCAGGCCCACTGGACAAAGAAGCAGAGGTTGATCTGCGCTGCATATTTTCCACAGGGATGACTTCAGCTGATGACCCTGTCGCGCTTTCATTGTTCTTCATAGTGTTCTGCATGGTGGTTTAATGGCTGCTCAAGCACATTGAATCACAAACATCCTCTTTAACTTTCAGCCCTGCATGTAGGAGGAAAGAAAACTGGCAGTGAAGAAATCAGTGACTGTTTGACCGAGTAAAATGTGAAGTTATGACAGAGTGAAGCATAGTTGAGTTTGTTTTCTTAAAAGTTTTCTCATGTAGCAAGAAGCCGACAGGCTATAAAATCCTTAAATTGTAAAATTTTTTGTGTCAACTGTATTAAATACTGACTGAATTAACAGAAAATGTTAGTTTTCTCATATTATTAACCTCAGTGTCATACAGATATGGAAACTCTGAAAATCCAGACGTTTTTTTGGCTTGCATAAGTTTTTGTCGTCTGTGATGTTTTTTTTATTACTTTGTGTGATTCTTGTATCCTTCGCTGTGTTTTGATCACAAACTGAGAGATTAATTAATGCTTTACTGGAAGTATTTCTTCCAGATATATACTTCTTATTTAAACAGAATTATGAAAACGTCTTCCTATAATAAAACAGAAATGAGAGAAATAAAATCAAAAAGAAGATGCTCTCCTAAAAAACACAGAATTATCCAGCTGAAGCAGTGGTATAAATATTGAATGGCACTCAAGCTTAAGTAGCATAGCAGCACAGACCCAAATTACTAGTGACAGATTTGTGGTACATCCAAGAGAAGAGGCAAACCAGACAGGCGGTCCTGTTGGATCGCAGAACCAGACTTTTGTCTTCACCTGTAAATTATTAAAGCCACACTAATTTAGCCTCTCTGTTTCCTTTGTTTCAGATGTATGATTGCCGATGAGGTAAGTACACGCCCCAAAAAACAAACCTGCGGCCTTCCAGATGAGTTTGTCAGCTCTCTGCTGCAGTCCCACGTGCCTAATCGCTTTTGACACTAGAATCATTGTGAGACCTTATTACTCCTGGGCCTCACATGAGCTCAGCCGTCACATGCAATTTGCCGCCGAGGGCTTCCCTTTGCGATTGACTTGTTTTCCTTCCCCAGATGGGTTTGGGGAAGACGGTCCAGGCCATCGCAGTGGCGTGTGCTTACAGGGCGGAGTGGCCCCTCCTGGTGGTGGCGCCCTCCTCTCTCAAATATCCCTGGATCGAGGAGCTGGAGAGGTGGATCCCAGAGCTGCAGCCCGGAGACATCAACTTGGTGGAGAGCAAGAGCCACACCATGTAGGTCTGGGGCGTCAAACTCCTTTTTGTTTTGGGGAAAATTAAGATCATGAATGCTCTTAATGGGCTGGAATGTATTGATAAAACCTGTTACAAATCTTATGGAGTTCTTAAAATTAAATAATGTTGAATGTCTTTTCAGTCCCTAAAGAATTTTGTGATTGTTTTTGGTGATTTTTTTTTTGCAGTAAAAATCAAAGTGTTTGTAGTATTTGCAATATTTTCACTTATTTATGACAGTAAATGTGACTTTCTATTACTCACTGTGTAGATCATGGATTATAATCTGACATCAATTAATCCTAAGGCAGCTGTTTAGTACAAGTAAAAAACTTTTTGACAAGTTTTGAGAAAAATGTCCAAAAAAAGTGCGGCGATTAGTTGATTTTGCGTGAAACTCCACAATAGTCTGGCAGTAAACAGATAAAAACTGCATTAATTTGATTGAAAACATAAAATTTAAACAGTCCTAATGTTTAAACTGGTCTTGAGTTTGAGACATGTGATGTAGGTCGTCCTTCCACTCCGTTTTCTTTGCAGAAATTGACGGGAACAATCAAAACCGGTGGTTTCTGTTCTGTTATGCATTAGGCTGCAACTTTAATTAAATTACATTTTGTGTCATAAGCCACCTGATGAGTATTAGCGGTGTGAATGATTAATGAATGTTAATGGCTCCATGCATCTGAAGGTGCATCTCAATGAATCTTGGTGCGTTGCTTTGTCAAATTAACATAAGCACACACAGCAACTTTTTCATGAATATTAATGCATTTATCTCCATCCCAGAGCTTCTTTTTCATTTTAAAAACTGTCTTTAATGTAGAAAAACATTATTTGTATTGGAGTGACATGCTGTCCACTGTGTGTGTTACACTTCTCAATTCACTTTGGTTCCAAATGCTTTAAAAACATTAAAAATGCTCACATCTTTTTCATTGTTTTCTCAAATAGAAGCAGAGTTAAATACAAATATTTTGTGTGCAGAATAAACTTAAAATATGTTGTATTTTGTAGACCTGATTTTATAATTTAACTTTAAATTGTATTGCTATTTTTGGAGGTATTTCTGGGGATAACAGGAAAAGTTAACTGTATGGCAGTGATTGTAGTCGAAGCTCCACAAATGCAAATATCGCTCTTAAAAAGCAGCTTTTTCAGGATATCAAAAACATAAAAATCATTTAATAAAGTCAGATTTTTATCAACAAACTGCACTAGAAGCTCAATTTAATAATATTTTTTGTTAGCAAATTCAGACAACACTATTAGTTTTTTGGGGTTTCAGACATTATTACATGTAATTTATTTTCGTAACAATTTATCCAAATAACGATACACAATGAGAGAAATGCCCGTCTTTACTAATAGTGGCAACTAGTCAAACTAAACAAGCCCCTTTCAACTGCAAAAGCACAAAATCTAGTGCAAATATCTTATTACACCCAAAGTAAGAAAAAGTAATTTAGAAGTAACTTTTATTTAGAAAATAATGAAAAAGTACAAGTTCCATTAGCAGATTATGTCTCTTATAACAAGACAGTTTTGACATGTTATAAATTAATTTATATGCCAATGAAACAGGCACTTTTTCATAAATATTAAGTAACGATGTACTAAAAAAACACCTCTGTATCTTGCTGAAAAGTAATTTGTTTTTCATATTTTAAGAGTAATAAGATAAATATCTTATTACCAAAAAATACTTGGTAAGATTTTGTGTTTTTGCAGTGCTGACATAAAAGTAAAACTTTATCAGCTAATTTAATTTTATCCTTTTGATATTAATATCATGTTTGAGAACACTTTCATCTGTAAATTTAAGAAACTCACCAACGAAACATTAAATTAAATCCAAAGCGATCCGAGATGCTGTGGATTAAGTCGCACTCTTCCTCACAGGTAGGAGTAAAGGTTGACGGTACTTTGTGTTCCTGGACTGAATTTTAATTACCGGTTCTCTGCAGCAAGCTGGCAACTTGTGTATTCTCCGCAGCAGTGTCACATTCAGGATGCATTTGTCTGGATTATCATTCACTTATTGTTCCTGAAAACCCTCAGTTTAATTTATTGTATGTTTATGTTTTCTACTATATTAAAATCCATCCTCTTAGTAATCAGTTATTCCTTCATTTCTTTATTCTGTGGTTTCTGGGAGTAAATATGCTGTTATTGTGTTGATTAAAACTGACCGAAAGTCATCTTTTTAAAAAGAAATATAGACATTAACGTACTGATAAAAAACTTTACATTATTTTAAATGTACTGTGAAGATAAAATTTAACCAAATTAACTTCAAACCCGGGTTGTTGTCTATTTACAACCACAAAATATGAACAATTTGCTCTTAAAGGTCCAGTTGTGCCAGAATGGATTGATAAAACCTGTACATACACTGTCAAAATATCAGTAAACTCTTAAAATGAAACATTGTGGAACATCTTTTCAATCCCTCCAGAATTTTGTAACTTTTTTTGTGATTCTTTTGTAATAACAATTTGTGTTTGTGGTACTAATTTTGAAATATTTGTGCTTAATATGATGCTAAATGTGACTTTTTAGTCAGTTTCTTAGGAATTATTGTGGAAAATTAACACAATAATTGCACTAGTTATACACTAGTGCACCTACAGTATTTACACCAGTGTATAATTGGGAGTTTATTGCAGATGTTTCTCAAAAATTGTCAAAAACTTTCTTACTGTACAGCAAGTTACAAAAGGTTGCATTTACCTTCATAAATACGTGCAAATGTTTCCAAATTAGTACCACAAACACAATTTTTAATGCAAATAATTGATCACAAAATCTTGAGAGTGAAAAGATATCAAATAATATTATTTAATTTCAAGGATTTATTGATTTGTGAAAAGTTTGTGAACTTTTCGATACATTCTTGTACAACCGGCCCTTTAAGAGGATACATGGTGTTGATTTGGCCCAATCCAAAATGAGTTTGACGCCCCAGGGATAAATCATGGACTATAATTTGACATTAATCATGGCTCAGGCAGCTGTTTAGTAAGAAATTTTTTGACTATTTTTGACTCCCAGTTATGTATTAGTGCAAAAATGTGCAGGGATTTGTTGATCTTCCGTGAATTCCCAAAATAATTCTCAAGAAACTGATTGATATAATCTGGCAGTAAACAGATAAAAGATGCATTGATTTGATTGGTAACATAATATTTAAGCACAGTTAGTGTTTAGTCTAGAATAGAGGGCCACATAAAAATCTACGGCGTGCCGGATTTGGCCCACGGACCACCTTGACACATATGCTGATGAAAAGACACTTTTGAGTTTTTTATTTGTTAATTATCTTGAAAATCACACCCTCTGCTTCCACTTCCACTTGTTTTTTCCTCTCTCATAAGACACAGAGAAAATATATTGAAGTTTGCAGTTGCAGCATGTCTTAAATGTGAAATGAGAGGCGGTGTGCACATCCATGCAGGGCAGCAGGGTGCACAGACTCATAAGTGTTCCAGATATTCCTTATGAAAGTGAAAGGTTACAGCTATTATTTGAGCTTAAGGGAAGGTTGCCCTTATAACAGTCTGCCTGCTGGCAGAGGCTGATATGTTCTGCTTCAGCTCTTGCAAGGAGTAATAATTTACCCTAAAGAGATGTAATAAAGATAAAAAAAAATAAAAAATAACGAAAACGTTTTTGGGAAACCGAGGCGATGTGATGGACAGCGGAGGTGGGGCCGATAAATTAATCTCGGCGTGTCCCTCTATGTCAGGAGCCAGCAGGGGCCAATGCTTGACAGCGCTGACAGACAAATCATGTCAAAGCGACGCCTGCAATATTGAACAGGAGCTGAAAGTTTTCCTGGAGGAGGGAAAAAATGCTGTCCTTGGGAAACGGCCCTCATTTCCATGACCGTTTATTCAGGTTTGCATTGTGGACTGTTTTTTTTGTGTGTGTTTTTTTTGCATGGAAACATGTCTCTCTTATCATCTCAACTTTCCCCTTGTTCTTCCTGCTTTTTGAAGTTTTTGAATGATACAAAGTTTCTATATTTGTCACTTGGAGGGGTGGAGGTGGGAGAGGCAGTGGGGGGGACTCCCCACCTCACATCACAGATGAGGTGCAAAGAGGTTGTGAACGCCTTCTGGGGAAAATGTGTCCTTGAACTGGATGTGTTAATGACTGAACGCGGAGGCAAGAAGAAGCAGAAGAAGAAAAAAAATTATGCAGCTTCTCCTAACGTGGTGCTTTGACTGACTTGTGCTTTTGTAGAACATCAGTGGCGTCTTATTCCGGCGTTTCGGCTCAGAAACATGCGGCGAAGTGAGAGAATTAAAGCCTTCCAGATGCATGGAGCCTTCATGATTTATTTCAGATCATCGCTGATTTTCATGCTGCTGAAAGTCACCTGTGTGTTTGTTTGTTTACCTGAGACGGTGCCTCTGTGTTTACGTTGCATAGAATATGAGTTTGTAAAAAACAGAAATTGTAATACATCACGTTTGAAGAGCAAAAGAAGGGACGTACGAGAAGTTTGCCTGAAGAAGTCGGTGGCTAAACACCTCGTTACAATGGTTTTTGTTAAATAATTTGGTTTGGAGGCCCAGAGGCCAAAATAATAAACCCATAAGCAACAGAACAAATGTTCAAAATCTGTTTTATTGTAGCTGCATTAAAGGTTGCAGCCATTTTCTTAAATAGCAACATTTCAATGAAACATAAGTGCTCAATATCATCGATATTATTTTTTGTAAAGTAAAAATTACTTTGAATTAAATGCCATTTTGTAGCTAAATGCTGAGGTTAAATGAGAAAACCTTCAACATTTAAGCTGTTTTACAATTTTTTTAGTCTTCTCCATTACCTTTTTTGTAAATTAAGACCAGAACAACTAGAAATCTAAATTAATTATGTGTAAAATGCATTTTATGACATGTAATTAACTCTAAATCTAATTTTATCCCCTATAGTAGCAGCTACCACTCTGCAGGCAGAGCATCCATCTTGTGTTGAGTTGGTATTTTATTTTTGTCTGTCTTAATGAATAATTTAAGTGATTACTTTATTTTTTTGTCTACTATTGAAATAGTAGACTGTTTTAGCCTGTATTGATCAGGCTTTCGGTGTCGCTAACTGTTTATGAAGTGTGTAAATGTGTGTGTGTGTGTGTGTGTGTGTGTGTGTGTGTTTGTACTTCCACAGGGATATCAGCAGCAGTAAAGTAACAGTGTTGGGTTACGGCCTGCTCACCACAGACGCACGCCCCCTAATGGAGGCTCTTAGGAGGCAACGGTTCGGCGTAGTCGTGGTGGACGAGTCTCATTACCTCAAATCGAGGAACGCAGCCAGGACCAAGAACCTCGTCCCTCTCATTCAGAGTGCAAAGAGGGCCATCCTGCTCACCGGTACCCCCGCTCTGGGTCGACCCGAAGAGGTAATCAGAGTGGATGGAGTGAAATTTTAATGATGCCTCTTGAGGGAGCGAACAGATTTAAATGGAGCATGCTTTTTTTTAACCCAAAAGATGAAACAGATTGCAGACTCCTTGAAACATGTTCATATTTTTTGATGGATAAAAAAACAGATACAGGAAATTCTCATGCTCAGGATGAGTCTCAGCATTAGGTCAGCTCAAATTTATCTGTGCACAAAAGGTAGATTGCCATGGTAACTTGCTCTGATCTAATGTTCAAAAAGCCAATTAACTCTCTCGGGCGTCACTCATCCTTCTGGATCCTGTGGTCTTATTTCAATAACCTTTGTTGCAAAAACTTCATTTACAAAGCCCGATATGAAGAGACACGGCGCTGCAATAAATGAGACAAGTAATAAAAGAAGCACGAGGGGGAGAGGAGGGGTGGAGCTATTGAATTTAGAAACAATAAGAAGGGGCTATTCACAGGACCACTGTGTTTGGAGAGAGCCGTTCCACTCTCCATAATGATTTATTATGCCATTGTTATATATGTTATGTCGCAGGTGTATCGTAGATTACAGCCATATTCCATCATCGCTGGTGTGGAAATTAAAGAAGACTTTGGGAATTGAAAATCTTTCCCATATCCAAAGGCAGTAGAGAAGCAAAACATTCACTAATAATGGGATGTTTTCCTTTCCTCCAACATCTTCCTGTGTATAGGTTTATGTTGTTACGGGTTTGGAATTAATGTTTTTGAATTAAATACTTCTTTTTAAGCTTTTGTAATAAGTGAAAAGGCAATTTTCTAATTCTTAGCCTTTAAAACTATTTCCAGTTTTCAGGGTGAAACTGCATACAAAAAGATTTAAATTCTCATTCAACTGCTTGTTTTTTACTATGATTACAATTAGCACTGTCTTTTTAACAAGTTAGGATATATTATAAATGTACTTTTTTATTTTGTCTCTAGATCAGCTTTTTGCTTTTGTTTTACCCTAAATAACCAGGCAGATCAATCAAAACCAATAAAAACCTCTTATCTGTAAAAGATACATAAATAAAATGAACAGGAATGGTGGCTAATATACAAATAATGACAAATATTTGAACATTTTCATATTTACATTTCTTCTAACTTTAGCCAGCTGCTTCTTCAATCATGTTAAAAACAAAAAGCAGGCTGCTATTAAACATTTATTCAAAAAATAAGGCAAATTTTAGTGAGGAAATAAGTGTTATCCTGAAAAAGTTTTTAGTTTTATATGTCATTCTAATAAAATTACAAATTCTTGACAAAAGCACATCGCGGCTTCCTCTCTCTCAGTTTTCTCTAGACGACAATAAACATCCATTTGTGTTGTTTCATTGTTTTTTTAGCCTTTCTCATTTAAACAGGAACATATTTCGGTTTTAATTAGATATAGATTATGTTATAGTACAACATGATACTGCCATCACCACCTGAGTAATGTTCTTTAATACCTTTGTTTCTTCAGTGGAATAGTATTTGTAACAAAGAGTGAATCTTTGATTTTTAAGAAAAAGATTAAAATGAGGTAATAATCAGCTGTTCAATTAAATATTTAGCGCTGACGTCAGAGTTTGGCGACTTGATAATTAACCGATGAATTCAAGCGTCTAATTAATTGCAAAGTGAAGTTACTTCTTGTTAGACATCTATTATTGGCTGCGTGTGACGAACGCCAACCTGTCTCTGCCGCCACGCGCCTGCAGTGGTGCGGTTAGTTTTTAGATATCATCTCTCTCTGTGCCACCAGAGCCCAATATAACATTTTATCATCCGCAGCGTAAACCCGATAAGCCCTGTCCCTGCCTGGGTGCCAGTCTCCTTGCTGCCATCATTACTCACCGCGGGCCTGACATGGCGCTCGCACAGCGCTCAGGGCATGTTGCATCGTTCGTGATGTGCCCTCATTCCTCCCACCCCATTAAATCAACTTTTGTGAGGGGGAGAAAAATGCAAAACTGCTGTTGAACAAGTGCTGAATTTAGAACAGCCGCTCGGCACTGCGGCTGCTTATTCAGCTCACCTTGCTGAAGATTACCCATCATTATTTCAGAAACGCTGGAAATTGGCGAGATGTGGGAGCGCTCACTCTGACTCTAACTCTTTCTGGGGACTCTGGTGCCAGCTGGGATGTAGATGCTCCATCTACCGCTTAAGATTTGCTGAAGAATCAAAATATTTTTCTGCTGCAGCATTAATTGACTAAATTCAACATCTAGATGGTCCCAGTTTATTTTAAAGTGATTAACTGATTGAAACGACTAATAAATGCAGTAATTTAACTGAAAAGTCTCATTAGTTTTATAAATTCCTTCCATACATGATATACTTTAGTTTTTTATTTCTGTTAATTTACATCATTTGGGCTCATTTATATATGTTTCATAATGCTATACAAAATCATAGGGAAGATTTTTAATGAAATCTGGCTTTTCAGAGTGCTGTAATGGAAAGTTAAGTGGAAGGAAAAACTGTACACCGCTAACAGGGAAGTAAGGGACATGATTTAACATTATATTGAAGGTTATAATTTTACTGATTTCTAAATATGAAAATTTAAGACTGATTGCAAGTTAGCATGGTAAAACAAAATGGCTGACTGAAGTATTGCCTTTAAAATACGGCAGTTCAACGTGTCTTTGCAAATCTATGTTTGTCACATGAACCGATGTGAGAAAGGTTTGCCATTATGCAACTAAAGCAATATTTTGAAAAAAGTGAGCAAAACTTCCTTCACTGTTATAAAGACATTAAATTACATTTTTTAAATACGTCTGAGGCTAAATTTGATTCTTTTCTGTAAATAAAATGTTTTAAAAAGCTAAATAAGTGAACATTTTAAGTATGTTCTTTTAAATTTCAATATTCAACAATATTATTAAATAAAGCATGTTTCCCTCTTATCATTCAGCCCTACAATCGTGTCACAGGGACCCTAATTCATTATTAAACTATCTTTTCCACATGAGGCAAAGCTCTGTTTCCCTCTCTCTCACACCTGTGAACTTATTCACGTTAACTTTTGGTTTGGCGTGAAGTTATATAGAAAATTTATCACCTCCTGTGTTTTTTCCACAGCTTTTTATGCAGATTGAAGCCCTCTATCCCAAGAGGTTTGGAACGTGGACAGACTACACCAAGAAATACTGCAACGCCCATTACAGGTGACATTTTCCAAATGTCTTCATATTCTCTAATTGTGCTAGGTATAATGTGTGTGGTTTTCTGAAAGCCTGCAGCCATTTGTAAATCACTAGAAACTCATTTCTGTGCTTTAAGCTAACACATTTAGCAACGCTCTTTTAAAATTAAAGTCTGTGCCTTGATTATGTTTTCGACTTCTTCTGGTAAATTCATTTCAATCTATTCTTTTCTTATAAGAACTTTCACAGTAAAGTAGTATTTTAATCTTTAATCTCTCAACTGTCTCATTATTAGTTTATTGTTTGCCTGTTTGTGTCACTCTTTCATTTTCAAGTTCTGATCTGGAAAAATTGAACTGGAACTTCCTGAAGTCGGGGAAATTTGGAGATTCGCTGCCTTAAATCCAACATGGCTGCCATTCTTATAAAATAATTAGTGAAAGTTTTTGTTTTTTAATTTGGAAATGAATATGTCTGCCCCATTTTTCATCAGACAATGTCCAGATATGCTTTGGTTATGAACTCCTAAAAACAAAAGTGTAATTATTGTTTTCTTTCACCTGTTTTAGTGAAAGAAGTCAACTTTTATTTCTGGTTTAGAAAACATTTTAGCAAAGTTTTAGTAGATCCTTACCTTCCTCTAGCTGTGTTTTGGGGGTGAGGTGGGCTGTGTCTCAGAGTGGAGTGGATTTGCTGCTCATTTAAGGGATTGTTGTAGGAACCAGGCCACCATTGAAGCCAGGCGTCCGCTGCCAGCTGGTGCCGAGTCCTCGTAGCCGGTGACGATCAGTTACATGTGTGAACAAACGCATCAAACGCATCGCTTTGGACGTCCATCAAAGTTATCGGCCGGGTCAGGGACGGAACGGAGGGCCGTCAGTGGTAACACTTCGTTAATGACGGCTGGGGAATGCCGTTCTGACACAGACACAGAGGAGGACACCGAGCGATGCCACTCATGAAAGCGAAGTTGGAGTGAGAAACTAGAGCAATCTTTGGGGCAGAGAAGCGGCATCGCTTCATGAACTTGCCGGCTTTAAACAACACATTTTAGAAGGAGCAGTTTTGCACCTTTCAACAACAAAAACTTTAAACACTGAAGTGTGAACCAAGTACTTTTGGCAGCTCCATGTGAGGCTCGTCCACTCTTTCAGCCAGCATGGCAAATAACCAGCCTTTTGTGTGGACAGCCAGTGCTAACAATTCAAATTCTAACTAATCATTTGGCTGATAAATTGTTAAAATGTGATGGTGTGCTTTATGACGAACCCCTCGGCTTAGAAATCAAACAAAATAGTTTTTAGTTTTTGGCTTTGCCGAGTATCCTTGGGTGAAAACTGGAGTGCTTCAGCAGAGCAGCTCCGCAGTTAATCAGTGTGCTGGTCAGCTCCCGAGAGGGAACGTTTAAAAGTGTCCACAGTGCTTTGCAGAAGTATTTAACCACAAACTTCAGCATATTTAAGGATCGACTGAGATAGACCAACACAAAGCAGTTCCTTATTGTGAATGAAAACATTTTTTTCAAACATAAAAACTAAGGTTATATGATATGATGTTGAAAAACACACAGTTTGAATGTATATGTGGATACCCTGCAGACCGGAGATGCAGGATGTGGACTATGACGCAGGGCATTCTGGGTAAATACAACCAAAACAAATCTGAGAGTCCAGCTTTAGCAGGAAAAATGTCTCATAGTCTTTTATCAAAGACAAATCCTACAGACGCTAAAATCTTCATTTTTGTTTACATTTCATGAAGAAAGTGTCTTAGAGCTTTTTGTGTTTTTTCCTTCAGTAGTTTTTGTTGCAGCGCCCCCACAGACGAGAAGGGGAACATATTTTTGAAATGGTTTGGATCGTTTGACAATGCAGTGCAATGCGAAAGTGAACTACCCCAAGTGAAAATGCAACAAATTACCGGGCTATGAGGTGTGAAAACCCTGTATAAAATGCAAAAACATTCAAACTACAAAAAAGTGTGACTTATAGTCCAGAAGAACTAAAATTGCACTTCTAAATCCAGCTGTTTACTAATTGTATATTTTTCCTTGCATTTTCCTGTCATACTCCACTAAAAACTGACAAAATGTGCAACTAAAGTGATACAAGTACAAGGTTTAGAATATAAATACCCTTTCAATGTCTCTCTTCAGGTATTTTGCGACTCGCCGGCATTGGGACTGTCGTGGCGCCTCCAACCTACAGGAGCTGCACCGGCGGCTGAGCCAGATCATGATCCGTCGACTCAAAGCCGAAGTTCTGAGTCAGCTGCCTCCAAAAATCCGTCAACGCATCCCCTTTGACCTGCCCGAGGAGGCTGCCAAGGTGCTCGGTTTGACATAACTTTGATAGATCTACGGTTTGGTACGGCATCTATCACACGAAATGAAATAAATTGTTCTCGCTTGTTCATACTTTAAAAAGTTTCTGCCTCCGTCTTAAGATTTATGACGTCTCTCTTTCCTCCTTCTGCTCCTCCATCACAAACAGGATATCAGAGTATTTGTAGAGTAAATGTCACACCTCATGCGTGGGGGTTTTAGCTTCTCCTAAAGTTGCGGCTGCTGGTTTCCCGCCTCCCACGCCGCGCCGCGTTTCGTCTGAATCCACGTTCGGATGCTAATGCGACCTCGACCTCCGGGCTCCGCTGTTCTGTCGGTTCAGGCCCCCGTTGGGAAACAATAACAATGCCGGCGTCCACCAGGCAGCTTTTGTTATATTTTATATCATATCAGCAGGTGAGGGGGAAACAGTGGAGGTGCTTTTTCAGCGGTAATTAACGTTCGGAGCCGGGAGTGACACCACAATGAGGAGGTTGCTGGGAAAAGTGATGATGCAGGGTTTTATCCCATTCTCCCTAAATGTTAAGGGACGCTTTAATTGGGAGCTAGAAGTGGTTTGTGTTGCTACATAGCAACAACAATTAGAGCAGGGAAAGTTCACACTGCGCCTTGTTGTTGGTGCTCGAATTTCTCCACTGGCTTTTTCTTTTTTGCTTTTATTTCTATTTGATGCGTTATATTTGTCCGTTTAGGATAAAAGAATGCGTCCTAAAGCGGCTAAGTGGAGCGGTTTCCAGAGATAGGAAACGGAGGTGTGAAGAGGCCAAATCCAGCACTATTGTGCTTCCAGGGAGCAGCGAAATCTGCACAATATATGAAACATAAAACACAGAAAGGACATTATTTTCATCCAAACAAGCTATCCTTTGAAGCATAGCTTTGCTAACTGACAATATATACCGAATGCCAGGGCCACTCACCGACTGTTTATTCCTCCCATCTCATTTTACTCCCTAATGATGGCTTTTATCTTCCACCGCCAGACATTTTTTATGCCCCTGCTGCCCTTTACGTTTTCAGCTCTGGCCTTTAGTCAGCGTTAGCCTGGCGAATATCATCGCGGGTGGAGTGCTTTCCCACTATGGTGGCTTTTCTTGTGTGTTTATTTTTTCAGACAGACAAATTATATAGAATGTTTGAATGGAGTTTTAATAGGAAATAAACACATAGAAGAGGTCGAGCACGCACAAACATCAAGGATGCTATTTAACATTCATCCTTGACATACCAATTCAGTAAACATAAATATGCCACTTATATATATATATATATATATATGTATATATGTGTGTGTGTGTGTGTGTCCTGTTGTTATTAAGCTTTCCGACTTTTCTCATTTTCTTTTGCTTCACCTTTGACCTCCTTTTATGTGTTCCTAATCAGGCAAGGTTCACCTCTGGCTTCCAAATGCTTCACAGCGTTGCACCATTTGATATGCAGCGCTCTGAGAAAGCGTTTTCTTTCTGTTGCATTACATTAATCATCAAGCTTTGGGATTTTGTAGCTTCATCGCATCATAAATAAAGATAAAATTGAGAAAAAAATTATTTTGCTAATGCAAATTACAGTAAATTAATGCACACAGTTGCATGAATTGATGCAATTAGGTCTAATACGTCTCCTGCTTAAAACTTTTTGTTGCATTTGCCAAAGACTTGTTTTAGTCCAATTGTGAGACATAAGGAAAAAGATAAATAAATTAAAATCTGAAAAGTGTGGCACATACCCCTTTCACTCTGATACCCTTGAAACAAAATCAAGTGCATCAAATTCACTTCAAATTCAGACATACTTTATTGATCCCTAAGGGAAATTAAATGCGGTAACTCATATTAAATCAGATTCCATTTTTTTATCTAAAATTAGGAAGATGTTGAAACAAATACACAGCAAACTTTTACTATATCACTAACTTGTACTAAACACATTGAAGTTTGAGGAAAAGGTTGGGGAAACTGCAGTCAAACGGTTTCTACCCGTCTGTGATTGAGCTGCGACCCGGTAAAACAAACTTGGATTCCCTCTGCGTGTTTTGTTTATGAATGGACAGAAACATATGCTGCTCTTCACAGGCAGCCTTCCCCGCTGTGATCTTCGTGCGCCTTAAATACTCCTCGCCAATCACCTTGAGAGCGGGCAAGGCGGCTTTTGATTTATTGTAGCGGCTGGGCTGCTTCTCCATCTTCGACCCCGGCTTGTCACAAGGCGGCTATAATTGGGAGATGCTCATGACCCACCTAACACAGCAGCCCAGTCGGAGGGGGGAAGCATCCTTGGGAATTCTCCATCTCTCTCTCTATTTCTTTCTATCTCTTCCAGGAAAAAAGTAGGACACCCAGCAGCACCATTAATTGTTTTGCCCTTTATATCTCAATAACAGGCGAGAACAAGAGAGAAGAGGAGGGTGGATGGAGGATTAAAGGACACAACCTCACCATCTTTGTGCTCTCCTTGCATGCAGGAGGCCTCGGCCTGCTTCGCCGAGTGGGAGAGGCTGATGAAGGGACTGAGGTCACAGGTCGCTGCTACGGAAACCCCCTTCACAGAGGTCATGAGTCTGGTTACACGGATGTACAAACAAACGGCTATTGCTAAGGTAATGGGAGACCAGCTGTTTCAAATGTCCTGATTCCTCCATTCCAGTAAATATTTGGTAAAGTTGGGTTTACTCTTTATTTGTCTGAAAGGTATCAAGAAGTCAGAGGAAGCTGCACTAGTAGCTCTTTCATCATCTGGGTCGTAACATTCTTCACGGCAACTAAAACCGCTCATCATAAAATTCTGACTAAACCATAAAAATCATCCTTAAATGTGACATTTTAATGCAAAGCAGTGATTTCTAATTAAACTCAAAACAGCAATGATGTCAAGCACAACTTCTGCTCTAGTCGGCGAATTGCAAGGGCTAATTGTGTTGTCTGATGTGTAAAAATCTAGCTAAATTCAATTATAAAATATTGATTAGACATGTAAACATCTTTTCAGCACCTGAGCACTGAATTATTACCACAACACTGCTTTGCATATTTATGGTCAATTCACTAAACTTACAGTTGTGACCATGAAGAAAACATTTGTTACAAGTAAAGTCACATTTGTATTCACCCTCTTAATTTGTTGCATCCAGTGGAAAGTTTCCACTTCCTCTAATGTGCAAGTTTTTGTTTAGGTAACTTTGAAAACATTTAGTGCATTAAGCTTCCTCTAAATGCCCAGATATCCCTGATTTACTGTTTTGTAAGTTTGACGCTGAAGTTTCTGTTATCGACTGTTGGTGGCAGAAAGTTAAAAACCCGAAACGTTTCGACACCTTCAGGCGCCGCTGTTTCACTTGACGCGGTGAACGGACGGCGCGGCGTCGCTCTCGGCACTGTGTGCTCATGGGAAAGCGTCGCCGTGGTAACAGAGCCTGATGGCGACCAGTGGAAGCACTTAGACAAAAGTAGGGGGAGTTATAACCGAGGCATTATTTAGCCGCGCGTCCAGCCTGGCGTGATTACACCTTATATCAAAGTTACACGCCGCACTAAAATAGGATCGCTGTGATGCTGTTGCCATGGAAACCCGTTCGGCTCTCAGTTTAACAGAGATGCCTCTTTTCTTTTTCTTCTTTTTTTTTAATGAGAGGGAGAATGAGCGCTGTGGGAAGGTGACTGGACGCATCCTGCAGGAAGGATGCCGGGGTCAGAGCCGCTGGAACCCAACGTTCATTTACATTCAGAGGAAACATTTTAGCCGTAATAAAGCCTTCGCCGTCTGATCCGCTCCCCCCAACCCCTTTCCTCGCTAAACACGGGAGCTCAGAGAACAGGCGTCTCCGCCGTCTCTTGTATTTGTAGGTGAACAAACCGCCATCTGGCCGTGTTCGAGGGCTGGCATTCCTCTCAATTAGCCAAAGTCCCTCAGCCATGAGGAGCGTCGCCCCGAGGTTAACAAAGACCGGAGATAACTACCAAATGCAATCATTGACACGCTGCTCGCTCCGCCTGCCTCCAAGCTTGGATCCTTTTCTTTTTTTTTTGTACTTGCTGTTGTTTACTGATTGGATTTCTGCTTAGTTTAGCCTAAGTCTGGACTTCCTTTCATTACATCCACCTCAAAGCCAATACTCCCGGACCAATCTCATTTCCTTTCAGAGTTCAACACACTTTTGGTACTATAGACGGGGGAATAAAACAAACAATAAAAAAACACAACAGCGCTTCCTTTTTTGGATCATTGGGAGGGTGGAGTGGTGTGATAAGTTCTAACATGTCGCTCGGAGGAGCATCGCAGGCCCTGCACCGCCAGGCGACAGAGCTGCCAAACGCCTTTGGGGTATTTTTGTTGCTTTACCCGCCAAGCATCTGCTCCCAATTACCCAGAGAGGACAGCTCTGAAGCCGGACTTTAAAGCAAAGATAACAGGTCCGCTTCAGACAGCCGAGAAGTTTATGCACTAATTAAACTCGGCGGAAGGAAGCGGGCGAAGCCAAGCCGTCAGTAATGAGGACCCCTCTGATCAGAACAGGGTCAGCGGGCCTGGTGGACAGATTCATTATTGGGCGCATCGGCTAATTATCAGCAGAGGTTCTCCCTCCTGAGCAGGTGTGACGGCTGCAGAGGTTGTCAGGCTTGTGGGGGGAGATTTTAGGAGCTGGATTCACACCACAGAGGCAAAAAGCGCCTCGTAAGGGCTCTGTTAGACTCAAATCAAACCTCACTATTTCCTCACTAGTTGGTGCTATTCTCGGTCGCCCCGGTGAGCCCGGGGGCTCCTAAATGAGCCGAGTCCGGATGCTCCATGACGGCCACACACACACGCACACACACACTGACATGATAGATTCGAATATCTGCAGGGCACAGTTAACTCCCTCGCTTTTTGGCTCCTTTTTTTTAGTTAGGAGGTGATCGTTAGCTTCACACTGTCAATCAAGGTCAGGAACTTCAAAACAAGAAACAAGCAATAGGCTGTTAAATTTGGGCTCTGATCTTTTCTCACGCATTGTTGCTGCTTCGCTTCATAAATAAAACAAAAACCAACAGAGACAGAAAGAAAGGAAAGTGTTACATAAGAAAGAAAAGAGCCAATAAGTTAGGAGTGACACATTCAAGACACTCGCCACATTAATTTTGCACTGCAGTTGGCACTTTGACAGCTAACAGGACCCAACTTTTTATTATTTTTTTATCCTAAAAAATAATAAAAAAATCTGAAAATGTTCCAAATGCAGTCCCATTATTTCTGCTTAAACATAAGCCCAGTCAATTTGATTTTTCTCTTCTCCACATTTACTGGCAGCCTGGTTAAAGATGAATAAAAACCTTAGAAAACTCTGAAAAATTCAGAAAATCCCAACCATTAACTTGAGAACATCAGCACTATAGTGATTGGAATACATAATAGTTGATGCAAAATCAATTTAACTGGATCATAAATATGATGCCTCAAAATGGGCAAAATAAGAAAACATGCCATTCTAGGAAGCGGAAATAAGAGAGTAAATTTCTTTGAGCGACTGCAGCAAATTCTGCAGCTATTTTTTTATTTTCGGACAGATGTTGCATTGTGTAACCTTGCCAACAAGTTCCTAAGAGATTATTATAATGGGTAAGGATCATATCTTAGTACATTTCAGCAACAAGGCAGTTCAAAGACACTTTGTGAATTAAAAGAAACTCAATCATTTTAATTTGCTTGTCGTTTTTTCACTTTTCTCTCTTTCCACCAAAATGTTTCCATAGACTTCATTGTTCATTTTATTTATTGTTTTCTTAATTTATTTTGGTTATTTCAAAATAAATTCAGTGTTCAAATATTCATTGGAATTTTAAATTTAGCTTTGAGAATCTCAGTATTGCTATTATATTTCTTGGAAATGGTCTGAAAACAATAATATTATCGTTTATTGCAATAAGTTCTGGGACAATTTATTGTCCAGCAAAAACCAGTAAATATTGCATTTTGTCAAGTGTGAAACTGATTTATTTCAAGGATTTTTACGCGTTTTTACCAGAGGTGTCAACAAATATGGTGCTGAAACTTCAGCTGAAATATAAAACCCTCTATTTAGTAATGAAACTTATTGTTTCTCCAATCGGTCAGATGTCAATATGTGGATTTTTGCGAACCTATTGTCACCTTAATCACACACACGCACACACACACACACCAATCATATTGCCAAGTTGTGAGCCATTGATTTGCTCTCTCTATCTGCGAGCTGACAAATGCGCCCCGGTCGCCGCGTTTGCTCGCTGCTTTTAAAGTCAGGATTCCCAGCATTCAATAGCGAATCGATCACACAGAAAGGATGCAGCGGTGATTAATTGACTTCTTTACTGATCTTGCCGCTGTGTGGCGAAGCGGCGGAGTGATGGATTCAGTGTCTCTCTTTCATCCGTGTCTATTTCTGTGTGCATGTGCGGTCAGGCGGGAGCTGTGAAGGACTACATTAAGATGGTGCTGGAGGCAGAGCAACTGAAGTTCCTGGTGTTCGCCCACCACCTCACCATGCTGAAGGCCTGCACCGAAGCCGTCATTGAGGCCAAGGTAACCTCAGGCGGCGTGGCGGTGTCTCAAACTTGAAACAGAAAACAGACATTTTGTTGCACACAAAATAGATCTGGATGCAGAAACAATCATACTGTTGAAGGAGATACGAATATGTTTTCAATTTAGTTGTAGAATACAACATTCTACAACTGTTATTTTCTGCTCTAACGTTCAAAATTGTTTGGGTTTATTTTGCACTAAGATAAAGGTCAGAGTTCAGTGTACATGTCAGTGCAAGACGCATTAAATCTGACAGCTGACAGAGACAACGTTTGTCTAATTTATGTAATCCGTTCGCTGTGATGTTTGACAAAGAAAGCTCCAGTTTGGTTCCTGAAGCGGCCTGCACAGGGTTTGTCTAATGACTCAGAGTTTATATTTTTTACACCAGCAGCACAGATCACTTTGCAACAAAAGCACAGTCTGTTTTCTCTGTCTTTAGTTTCATATTTTCATTTAACGTTCCAAACTCCAGAGACTTTCATTGCCTATTAAATGTAACCTGGAGATATTAATCGTGCAGAGTGCATCCATGTTTCACACTTCCTTTCTGGCTTATCAGACATAATTGGCCTCATGTTTTAGTTTTATTCTTTCATCCATATTCCCGCTGGGTTTATAAAGCGAAACTCAGTCATAGTTGCGATTTACTTTGACAGAGTAATGATGTCTGTGCTCACAAGTAGAGCTTGTACTGACAGAAGATGTTAGCCGCCATAAATTATTAAAATCTCTGGCTTTTAAACCGATTGCAGGTGTATAATTAAATGCGGGCACAATATTTAAATAATTAACCAATTACTCATGTCGCCCGATAAGAATCTCCAAATTCTTCAATTAAACTGCATCCTAATTTACTTTGCTTCTCTGGAAGTAAACTTTTCTTCATCAACTCATTACAAGCAAATGTATTCTCCTAGATTGGCGTCAGCAACCTGTGAAGCACTTCAAGTGTGTTTTTGTGTGCATAGCAGAGGTCGAGAAGTTGTCATTCGAATGTAATGTGATGGCACGAGGTGTGATAGCACGTTCCTCCTTGAGACGCTCACTCCGTGGTGTGTTCGCACTCACCAATTAACAGCGATGAGCAAAAAAAGGAACGTCAAGCAACGCCGGGAGATGTGAAGCCTGGCAGAGACGGCCATGACATCACTGCTTTCGTGCTCCGTGTGTCTCACCTGTCGGTGAACTGATGAGAAGGTTGTTGAGCACTGATTAAATCAGGCAATAAAGATCCCTGTTCAATTATCAGATTGACTTGTGTTGGGTTGTTTTCAGTTTAGGGTGCTAATTTCCACAGAAATGACTGGATATGTTTATTTGACATTTCAATGAATCTTTCATATTCATTAACATCTGGGAGCAGCGCAGTGGGAACATAACGTCCCACTGTTGGCCACTGTGTTGCTCCACAGGACTTATGGACCCAAATCAAAAGAGTGCAGTCACCATAGTGCAGGAGTAGCCAGCTGAATGTCAAATTCATGTTTTAATTAAACAAATCCCTTGTTTTCAGTTGTGTTTCTCTTCTGTTTACCTACTTTATGAAAGGTTTTTATGATCAGGGCTGCATCATGTGCTTATTTTAACATTTCTAGTAAAGCTTGATGGAGTATAGAGTAATAAAATAACTTAGAAGAAATAAAAATTGTCTTTTCATAGTATGAACCATAATTATATTCACTGAAGAGTGCAGATAACCCTGTTTCCCTCATCATCTCTAGTTATTTATGTAATCTTTTATACTATATTCATAAAGGAGTTTTGGATAATAAGGTTCAATCTACACCTGAAAACCTTCAATCATACTTTCTTCATTAGTTTTTTGATCTCTCTACAGGAGATATCTGGGAAAAACACTGCTGAAAATAAGATTGTGTTAGCAAAAACTTGAGATTTCGCTGCTTAATTTAGCAGCTTTGTTATTTTGCTTGATTTGCTCAGTTTGTTGGGTTAGTTATCTAATTATCTGCAGATATGTTTATCCCTCCTTCTGAAGACAAAATATGCAGAGAAATACATGGGACTCAAGTTGTATTGCTAATATCAGTTAGCATGTAGCCTAACTTGTAACAAAGCAGGAAAATCCAACAATTTTTTTCTTTCTTACAAGTTCCAACTTGAGGTTATATTATTAATTAATTACACTTTAGCTGTTCCCAGAACTCTAATTTTAGTACCTAGAATTTGTTCTCTTTTTGATTTAAAAAGCAGTATAGTGTCATGGCTTTTTAAGCATGAATTAATCACTAAAACATGTCTCCTCCTGTCTGCCAGGCTGGGTACATCCGAATTGATGGCAGCGTGCCTTCATCGGAGCGAAACAAGTTGGTCCACAAATTCCAGAGCGATCCAGAAACCAGAGTCGCCATCCTCAGTATCCAAGCCGCCGGTCAGGTACTATGATGAAAACTTACTGCTGAACTATGAATCATCCTATTGTTTTCCTTGTTTTAGCTGAAAAGTAAATAAAACTATGAAGTGGCAAATAGTAAATAAGGTTTTCCACAAGAAGTAGCTTCTATTTTTATAGTTTAAGTGTGCTTGAATTGTGGATTTTTGCTCAAATTATGCTGCTTTTCTGTGTGTGTCTGTGTGTGTGTTGTGTCTAGGGTTTGACCTTCACCGCTGCCAGCCATGTGGTGTTTGCCGAGCTCTACTGGAACCCTGGACACATGAAGCAGGCAGAAGACCGCGCTCACCGGATCGGACAGACGTCCTCTGTCAACGTGCACTACCTCATCGCCAAGGGCACCTTTGACACAGTCATGTGGTCCATGCTCAAAAGGAAGGTAGCGCTGACAACATTATGCAAGCATGCTGGGATTAAATCATGCAAAGCTGCTGAAACTTTCAGTCGTGACAGTCATGTTTACTTCATATGACGCGTGACTAATAAAAATATTTTAGAGCTAAATAGAAAAAGAAATGACAGAGTAAAGCTGAATCTTGTGTGACTTCCAGGAAACAGTTACTGGTAGCACATTGAACGGCAGGAAGGAATTTCTGAAGGCTGATGAAGGTGACAAGGACAAGTGGGAGTTCCTCAGCCTTGCCAACCCTTGGACGCCGAGTGAGATGGAGCTACCGCTGGAAGGAAACACAGGAAATGTGAACGATGACATTTTCTTCTCCTACGTGAGTTTCTCAGAATCTCTGCGTGCAAAAACAAGTCACTTTACATTTACCACATTCCCTGTTGGCATCTGGGTTACCCACTGATAATTTCTACACTTTCTTCAATAAGAATTGTACATTTCAATGTGTGTGGCTGGAGCAAAGTCAAATCACAAATCTAATAAAATTTTATTTGTATAGCACCTTTAAGAGACAAGACATTTCAAGATGCTTTACATGATAAAAACACAAAAAAAACAGTCATAAAACAGTCAACAGTTGAAACATCAATAATATGTTTATTGTGACATCAATAATAGCTGTTGGGTTTTTATAATTGTTGGGTTTTTATCTGGACGTTTGTTTCAGATTTGTGCTGCATAGCAATGTAAATGCATTTTCCAAAACTTTTTACATATACTTAAAAAATGTTTTAATTTATTCTCTACAGCAATGGATAAAAGATTCACGAATACATTTTTTATTTGTTCAGCAGTAAACTAACCCTGCAGTATTCTGCATAAATAAATGAAGACGTCAAATTCAAAATGTATCAGAAGAAAGATATCCAGTGAATAAATTCTGTTGGACTTGGCTGAAAAGAAGAAAAGCATTTAGTCACTTATTGCTTGAAATCCATTGACATTTGTGGTTGGAAAATGACAAAATGTTGATAGGTGTTAAATTTTTTTATACCAACACTAATTACCCTCATTCAATCGGTTGAAACTGAGGAGATATGGTTTCTTTGTGTGTTTTTTTAATTAATTCTGCGGTTTAATGGCTCCAGTTGATTGTATCAAAGCACTTAACTAATCAGCTGATCTTTGAGCAAAGTGACCCTTTCAGATTTTCTACCAAAGCCAAACAGTTCAGTCTCAGTCAAAGGCTTAAGTGAGCGGAAAATAAATATCTGCGTGTTGAATTAATTTAATTAATTTGGGATATTTTCAAAAGGATTAAAGAACAGTAGAAGTTGATCAACGGGATTAATTAGGGTTATTTTGAATTTTAATACTTAAATGTCTTAAATTTGTTTAGTTCCAGTTTATTTTTATTTAAGCAAGGAATTTATTTGATTTTCTTTTTAGAATAATAAACTCATAAAACAGGATTGAAAAACAATGCGTTGGCCTTAAATACCTTACTCATAGGTCTTAAATCTGCTTTAATCTCATATATTCTAGGTAATTTTCTTTTATGCTGTGAGATTGATACTTGTCTTCATAATGGTTTTAATAGTCTTAAGTATGAGTTAGTGCAACCTGCAGAATCCCAGTAACACTAATTATTGTACCTCAGTGAGTTGGAAACTATAAAATTAGCTTCTCTTGTCAGAAGGAATATTAATTAACCTTTGTGTCTACATACAAAAAGGCTAAACATGGAAGAAAACTAACTCATTCCTTAAGAAATGAGAATTTTAGTGGGTAATTTATATTCCAAACGCTTCTGCGTTGGAGTTCAATCTAACATGATCTTCCATCGTTTTTCTTAGAGTGAGAAAGAAAAGCAGCGCGATATTCGCTCGTTCTTCTCGCCAAGTGCCAGCAAGGAGAAGAAGAGGAAGAAACCAGATGACGAGGAACCGTCTCCGTCCTCGGAGCCGGTGGAACAAGTTGACTCCGACCCTTCTCCCTCCTGTGTGAATCTAGACCAGGACTTTTCACTGCAGATGAAGAAGCTTGTAAAGCCCAAGTCCCGGTTGAGGCCCGGGTCTCGCAGGTTGACCCTGGGATGCAACAGCCCAGGAAGTCCCGCCTCGTCTGTCCGCCGGAAACCTCCGGAGACGTGGAGCTGCGCGACGTGCACCTACTCCAACAGCGGCCTGCTGCCTTACTGCGAGATGTGCGAGTTCCCGCGTTCATCTGGACTCAAACCTGGTAAGACGGAGAAGCAAGTAAGACATTAATCATATCATCTAACCCTCCCAGATGTTTGCTTTTGTCTGGTGTGGACCTCTTCTTTTAATTCACAAATAATCCCACCGGATTCGATTTTAAAAAAGGACAACACTGCCCCCGTCTCTTGCTTAAACCGAAGCACCTGAGGCAAAAAAAAATCCATTCAGCTCTTTATTTTCCTCCCTGTCAATATCAATCCGAGCAGTCTGTTGACATAATACTTTCGAGCAGCATTACAGATTTCACCAGATGGAGACGCGATATAGCGAAAGATGGAGGCAACCTTGCCAGCGTCTGAAATAGCTCCGCTCCGAGAGGATTGTCTGTCTCTCTCTCTTCCTGCAGATGACAAGGACACAGCATAATTCTCACCTGTCAAGCCAAGAGAGAGAGACAGAGAGAAGGCGGCTGCTACTGCTGCTAACGCCTCACATAAAGTTGGGGAAAAGTTGAGCTGGCTCTAGGTAATATCTCTGACAGCCTATGATTGTGTCTTGCAGAAGAGCAGGGGAGGGAAGTCGTTATGACCCGGCAGCCTGCAGGTCTGCGCTCCTTAAATGTCTGAGGTGCATCACTGGGGAAAAACATCTAAACTGGAATGAGGTTCAAAATAGTCAGGCAAAAAAAAAAAAATCCAACTTTTAACTGGACTTAGTGAACTATTAGACAACAAATTATACTGAAAAAAACAATTATTATGGTCACAACTGGTGTGATTTTAATATATTTTTCCTTATTGTAGTAGCAAGATGACTTATAAAAACAAATCAAAATTTTATTTAAGACTTTTTGAAAAAAAGGTGCATCATTTGCATTAAAAATGCACTTAAAAATCTCTGCACAATCTTAAAAAACGTAGACGTTTGTAAATTTTAAATGAAATTAAGAAATAGTAGTTTTCTTTCTGTGTAGTCAGAAAATGACTTAAGGCAACAAAGTCAATAGATAAATAAAACAATGTCTTTTTAGGCAATTCAACTGTAGCTTCAGAAGTATGCAATATTATGAAGTTCTGAGACAATGATATTAATAGTTATATATGACGCTCAAGTTTTAAAGTCTTTTGACATTCATTAGTGACTTTTGAGTATCTTAAATGCCATGACAGGATCTATAATAAGTTCACAGCAGATATTGAATGTGCTGAAGGTCTGTTTGCAGCTGACGCACGAGAAAAGAGAGAACAAACAGGCACTACCTCCATTTTTTTATTATTATTATTATTTCTGAGGCTCACACCCACACAAAACACCCTCCTTCCACCCCGCCCCGTTCCAAGCTCCGCTGCAGCAGATGCTTGATAACTATTCAGCATTCACACTCCTCTTTGTCACAAGCGCCACTCTGCATTCACAGCGGCGGGCTGTGTCAGCTTGCTAGACAGGAAATTTAACAACCTGCTAAATTTGCAAATGACAGACTGTGCGGGAAAATAACAACTGTATTTATGGAGATATCTCTCAGCTTGCCACTGAAATCCTCAGCACTCGAGGATGCAAGAAAATAATCAGGTGGAATCCTGTGATGTGACATGAGAAATGTTATTCCTTCAAGAGCAACATGGTTTTTTTTTGCGGTGTGACTAAACAGGGAGAGTGTGAATCACAGAATAGTGTCATATGATGTGAAGATGTCGAGATGTTAAGTTTAAATTTAAGGAATCCTGGTTGCACATCAAGGACCCAAAACAACACTTTAAGCAACCCAGGACTCAATTTCCCTCACTTAGGGTCAAAGTTCATGACTCAGCATGGGAGGGAGAGCTAAGATGTTGAAAAAATAACAAGGCAAAACAGGAAAAATATCATAGTTTTTCACATAACTGCAGCTAATAGCTTCCACATCTCCTACGTTACTTCACTCTTCCAAAACTGCATCATCCTTATGGTTTTTTTAAACTCATTATTTTAGTTTAATTAATAACGTTAACTGTAAATGACCAGCTGGTCCTTTTAAAATGTTCCATTAAATACATACTATCCGTCAGAAATGCCAGACTTGCTGCGATGCCAAAACTAAAACGTGTCTTGCTTTAGTGGCATCTGCTGAATTTTCCATCTAAATCCCGCCGTTCTTATTTTAGGAAAGGGATTACAAGGAAAATAGTTTGGAAGCGTAACTTCAATATGTTTTAATACATTTCTTTGTTTTAAACCACTTCTAAGTCTTTACACGATGCTTCCAAGAAGCTAAACTTTCTCCTTTTCAGATCTGTTTTGTAGTAAAACAACGAGGAAAAGTTTGAGTGAACAAAAAACTGTTTGACTTAAAAACCAAATATTTGGTGCACAAGATTTCAACCCTGGGGTAAAATTAACAAAAGTCATTCAGAAATTCTGGAGAAAAGCTTACGTAGAGAGGTTATGGTGACTTTTGAAGATAAAAATAACATTTCATCTACTGGTCCTGGATGTAATAATGAAGAAAAAAGCTTCTAAAGACCAAAGTAAATATTCAAAATACCTGAAAAAGTTCTGATAATGGCTGATTTGAAAGCCTACAGGAACTTTTAGCTGCATTAAAGCAAAAATATAGAGAAATAAAGTGAAATTCAGGACTTACTATATAACTGCCTTGGATGTTTAATGACATTTAATAAGAAAAGACTTTTGAGTTCACTTGTGGGCAAATGTCAAGTTGCCGTTGCTGCTAATATCACTTCATATTCAGACTTTTTAAGACAATAAAATAAGTTTTTGCTTTTTTTTCCCCTTAAATTAATTTTTTAATCTTATACATAAACGTATTCTGGGTGTTTATTCTTTTTAAATTAGAAGCATGAAATGCATACAACACATTATTTTATTTATCTCAAACATCTTTTTTTTCTATGTAATCTCATATTTTTCTCTAAAATTGATCTCCTGTGCTGCAGGAAAGAAAGAGGGACCTGCCTTATAACAGGTGTTGAACAAGAACATCATAATGATCGTGTTCAGATTGAATCCCCTGTAGGGCTGCTTGGTCAGGAATCTGTTTTTTAATCAAACTGTCACAGATTGTTACTTCACCTCCTTCGTGTGACAGAGTCGGCTTCAACCATTTCCTGAACTTATTTCCAGGACCAGCTACTTTCTTCATTTTTTTTTTGTTTGATGCTTTGAAGCACTTCCTGTTTGCGTCACATGTGGGTTACTTTGATTTGGTTCGAGTGGAGTGGATTTGAGTCAATTCTGCAACCTTATCAGCCCACTCTGAGCGTGACGGGGGGTCCTACTGGGCGGGAAAACACAGGGGCCGGCTCCTGCAGGACTTCGCTGCTAACGTCTTCCACGTCGGGGGACAACTTAACACAAATTGAGCCGTCTCTCCGCGGCCTCTGTCGGCTTGTTAGTGGAGGGAGCCGGCGGCCCAGAGAGTCGCGGTGACATTTTGAGGAAGCCGTCGAGAACTGGCCTTTTGAAGAAACAAGCCGCAGAGAGGCAAGATCACTAATTAGCCTTCCGTGTCCTCCGGTCTCACAACTTACTGTCTTGTTAGATTTCGCACCTCGAGTTTGACAAATATTGTGAAAGGATGTGATTTAAATATAACCAGGAGAGACGGGGAACAGAAATTGTGCAGCCTAGTTTCTCCTTTTTTTATGAAGTTTTGCTCAGACTGTGACATTTGCAGTTGGCCATAAATATTTGTGCTCTTTTCTTAAAGCAGCTGCTCAGTTTTTCTAAACTTTAGCATGAAGTTTGTTGAAGCATAATTTCAGTTAAATTGGTTTTAAATATCTCTGTGTCTTAATATGCCATATAATTGCCACGTTATAAGACAAACAGGGCCATTGATTCCCAGTTATTTCAATTTTATAGCAGAATACAGAACTAGGTGTACTTTCTATGTGACAAAAAAAATATATAAACACGAAATTAGTGGCAGCATTATGTCTGTTATTGACTGCTCTGGTGAGTGATGCAGCTAAACACTGTAACTGCAAATCAGGAGAGCTTTTATTAGGGAGAAAATGGAGACTACATCGATCAATCAAAGCAATCAAATTTTATTTGTATGGCACATTTAACCTAAAGGCATTTCAAACTGCTTTATGTAATAAAAACACAAAGTCGTAGAACATAAATCATAGAATCTGGGCTGCAGAACAGAACCAGAAGACCTGAGCGGTCTGGAAGGTTGATACAACACCAGCAGATCTTTCAGTGATTTATAAACTAGAAACAGTCTTTTAAAGTCTCTTCCCTCAGTGGAAGAACTTTAGAAGTGGTGTGATGCTCTCTAACTTCCTGGTTTTAGTCAGAACTCCAGCAGCAGCGTTCTGGGAATGATTGATTTGTTTTAGGCAGATCTGTTGCAGTAATCAATGTGAACGAATGGATGAGCTTCTCCATATCTTGCTGAGACATTTGTCCTCTAATCTTGAACATGTTCTTCAGGTGGTAGAAGGCTGACTTTGTAAGTGAAGGTTCAGGTCAGAGTTCATCTCTTCACCAGATTTCAGGCCTGATCTCTGGTTTTTAGTTGTAATAACTGAAGCTGTGTGTTGACTCTACATCACTCCTCTACTGGCGCCGAGCTTCCTGTCAGTGTCTCCGTCCAGGAAGGAGACCTAGCTAAACACTTTCTATTTGAAAGAAAATCAAAGTAAAATTTAATGGCAGCAGTAGATCTGTTAATGACTGAGATGCAGCTAATCACAGCAGTGCTGAGCCAGGGTGTGCTTTCCAAACAAAGAGCTATAAAGAGAGAACACAAAGCTAATAGCTGCACATAATGTATAAACACTGAGTGGCAGGAGGAAACATTGAGGAAGAGTTACCAGTGTGTCTGTACAGTGCAGTAAGCTGCTACTTACAGGCTGATCTTCTGCTGGCGTTGAGCCACTATCAGCTGTCTGCCCTCAGTCACAGCCATGTACAGATGCAGCAATCGCCCACAATTATCCTTGTTTCATTTTGATTGCTCATGACACTGTTGAGCAATTAGTAAAACAATGGGACGAGAGCATAATCCGCTTGCTCAGCAAATGGTATTGGCGCTGTGAAGCAAGAGTCAGTGAAAAGAGGATGGCAGGTGTTTGTTCTTCCTGGTTTTATGGGGCTAATCAGCCAACTCTACTCGTGTATTTTTTGTAAAAGCAATTAAACTCTGAGTAATTTCCATCTTTGCTTTCTTTTTCTGCCGGCCCAGAGTCACCAGGGCCTTCTCAAGCCTCCACTGGCCAAGAGTGCGTTGTCCTTTCCAGCTCCGACAGCGAACCAGAGCCTCTGAAAGTCAAACAGACGCTGGAAGAAGCAGAAGAAGAGGATAAGTGTTGGCCCAAAGGCAAACAATCAGCGAGGGAGAGAGACGACAACACGGCTGGCAGCGGCGGCTGCCTCTCCCCTGACCACACACAGGGTAAATCCCACCTGCAATCTCTTGCCTTCTCATATCTAGGGAAATTGGCTGGTGCCACACTGTCACCTGCACATATACTGCAGTTTGATATCATCACGCCAACCAATAAGGAACGACATCTCATCCCATATGGGGCTTGTCATTATTATTCTTATTTCCTTGTCGCATCGAGTTGAAGATGCGACCTCCTAATTCTTCGGTTGGAATTAGGAGGCCGCCGCTACTCTCGGTGCCAAATTACAGGACACACCAGGTTTCACGTCCGGTCCCTGTCCGGCAGGTCGAGAAGCTGGTGATAAGCTGCCTTTTTCTGTTTTTAATAAAGTGGAGTGAGGGCTAATTACATAAAAGCCACTCAAGCTCCTGTGTTGCACCTGCTCATCCCTGAAACACAACCTGGCTTCCCAGTCCACTCAGGTTTTTACATGTGCCCGTCTGTATGTCTCAGAGGGACGTAAAGGAAACAAATTCCCAATTACACACTGTGTAATATTGCAAATTAAGACCTCTGAGTTTGACTGCTTATGTCTCAGTGGGATACACAAAGCAATAAATTGCACTAATTACAAAGACCCTAATTACAGCATCTGCAATATCAAGACTTAAAAAAAAACTGCCAGACAAGCAGAGTCTAAGAAAAGCCTGTGACCTGAGTGTTGACTTTGAAAACATGCAGACTGTTTTGGGATGTACAGTGTCTTAGTTGGAACAGTTTTCACTTTGTGTCTCAAACTGCAAAGTGTTTTACTGGGATTTATTACAGCTAAAAACAGAACAACCTTGAAGAAAAACCTGTCTGAGGATAGCGACTGGTTTGAAATTAATTTAAAGATCATGAAACTTTAAACATTTTGTTTAATTTGAAAGACGCTGTCAGTCTGAAAAGCTGCCTACTGTGCACTGTGCTGCTCTCAGCAGTGAGGAAAAGCCAGAGAGGCAGAGAAAAGGTGAAAGGAAGCTGAATGTTTTTTTTATTTGAGCCTCTGAAAATCATCCTAATGCTAAGTTGCTGCTCATTCACCCTTGCTGCAAAAACAAAAAATCTTACCAAGTTCTTTTGCTCTAATTTCTCGTGCAAACAACTTAATACACTTGAAATAAGACAAAATGAATCAGAAGCATCTTTTCAGCAAGAAAAGTTGGTGAAACTTGCAGAAATCTTGCGCAAGGACTCAGCTGTAGCTGGTTGAGTCACTTTTGAGATTTTTATCTGTTAAAAGAAATGATGAATCACATAAAATACAATGAAGTTTATGGTTGTAGAAAGTTAAAAAAGTTAAGGCCTGTGAGTATTTTCACAAGGAACTGTGATTGAACTCCTTTTCTTTTTTCTTTTTTGCTAAAGACTTGGCATAAAAGCAACTGAAGCACAAGTGATTTTGGTTTTAACATGCAAGCTATCAACCCCGATTACCCTCTAACATTATGAGATCAGTGTGCAACACCTTGACAGATTTCCGTTCTTGAATCGCGCGCAGTTTGGCATCTATTAGCCCTCAGACTGTCGAGTGGTTAATTTCCCGTCTCTGTGGCTACCTGTGCCCCCCTGACGCTCAACGATTGAATCCCACCGCTGCTTTCCCCCGCAGAGGCTTCAGCTCTACACTCAGGCAGAAAAAAAGGAGAAAAAAAAACCTAAAGGTGAGTGAAAGCCGCTTTCTTTTGAAAAAAAAAAATGGAAAAAGAAAGAAAATCGCCTCTATTCAGACTTGACTCTAGGGGAGAGATAAAAGCTTCACTGTCGATCAGAAATGGCAGCACTAAAGAGGCGCTGCAGGAGATCCGAACCCCGCACCCCCATGTGCCCTTTCGACGCATACTTTTTTTTCCCGTCCCCTCGATGACAACTAATATCTGTCTGCGAAAAGTTTCAGCCTGGAGTCGTTAAGTAGCATCTTCGGAGAAAGAAGCGAGGACTGGCGCAACAGATGGTATCCACAGAGCTCTGATCTCAGCATTGCAGAGTGAGTCAGGGATTAGAAGAGGACACAGACAGCTCATCGCATTCCCTTCTGAATTCCTCTGAAAACACCCAGAATGCACGACGGTGTTTAATACGAAGAAGAAGAAGAGGCATCTACATGTTCATCCTGTCGTCGGTTTATTAGTTACATGACTTTGGCGGTCTGTCTCCACCAGCGGGGGTCTAATACAAAACACAGTGGTTGTCCAATAAAAGTGACCTATGGGGTCAGGAGCGGTGCCTAATGATTTTTCTCTACCTGCCTGTGGTTTTCAGAAGCGAGGAGCTGTCGGCCGCCCCCGCCTCTTGATTGCTCTGAGATTACTTTCCGCACAGCACAGACAGGCAATCACTCCTCCTCCTCCACCTCTCCGGCTGTCTCCTTCTCTCTCTCCCTGTGTCTGTCGCTCTATCTGCATGCTGTGGGAACATTTAAAACACGGATACCCGTTTGTTCGTCAGCTCAAACGTCGCTCATTCTCGAGGAGCGTGGTTAGATTTTTTTCCTTTTTTCCCCCTCTTTTTGTTCCACTGCTGCAAGAAGATGAGATGACTCAGTCCAATTAGGCGTTGTTTTCTTTCTCTCGCAGTAAAATAACAGATAAATCCCTCGGGGTGTTTTGAAGGCACCGTTCATACTGTGTAAGTGACAGTCTAATAAGACGGCTTTGTAAGATGAATTGCCCCCTTCGAATAAATGGCCCACTTAATGCAGCTGGTTCATTCCGCCACTGCAAAAAAGGAGGGGGGTTAAAAAAAAAATGCTTACAGCAAATATACTGGGGGGCACATTGCAGAGCTGCTGGGTTTCATTACAGATGTAGCAGGCCAGAAGGATAGATGAGAGACTGCTGGTGTCCTAAAAACGTTTTGGTTCCAGGTTTGTTGCTCTGCAAAAAAAAGAAAAAGGAAAAATGCCTTCGTCTTGTTATCTTGGTATTTTCAGACCCACTGCAGCTGAATTCAGGCTGAGATCAGAACAGTTTGTGCCAGATGGAGGGAAAGTGCAGTAAGGACGACTGCAAACATAAAATTGAAGCACTTTTTTTTATTTTTTTGCTTAAGGCAGGAAAAGGTACGGAGAGGACCCGTGAGACTTGATGCACAAAAAAGCAAATCAAATATATGAACTCTAAAAAGCAACGTATGTGAGACAAAAGTATGAATTTTGTAGAAATGTTTTGCTTAATTTTTTGAAGCTTATTAATGTCTCTTCAAACAGACTTTTCAGTGTTGATGCAACAGAAGTCAGAGTGATTAACCTGATGAAATGCTACATTTTCAGAGAACATTATACATTAAGTTAATCAGTAAACGTTCTAACTGACTAGAGCATGTCGTCTGCTCCTTATTATGACTTTAAATGAAGTAATTATCACCTCGGTCGTAGTTTCGTCTCATCTATAAGGCTTTGTGGGACAAGTTTGATCTCTTAGAAAGACTTTAGCTGCTTCACTCTTGTGGCATCAAACTATGAACCCTCCACCTCCATGCTTGATGACTGGTGTTGTCAACCTTTCAAAGATTTTCTTATAAAAAAAAAAGCTGCTGCTAAAACAATATGGTATCACAGTATTACATATAGTTGTTTGCAGATATACTATGTCCAGATGTTGCCACTAAACACCTGGACATAGACAGACTTTATTGCCATTGGAGTGATTTTTCTTTTTGCAAGACTCCAATGATAAACTAAATAAGTAAATAAATAAATAGTCTTACATTTTGTATTAATTAGTAGTGTGTGCTTTTCAGTTTTCTTTCTTTTTGCAGGTTTAGAAACAGATTTCTTGAGTGTTTTTTGTTTTCTATCTCATTTCCCTCCATCCATTTCATCATCTCTCCCCTTTTTCTCTTTTAACCTTTTTTAAAGTCTTTGTGTCCATTATATTTGAAATAAACCTCAAACAGTTTCTAATAGTTTTTTTATGTCACTCTGTCACAGTTTATGTTTGATTCAGTGTCACGGCTTAGTGAGCCCAAATCATGAACTCTCCACTGCCGACCTTGATAGGTTCAGGATTTATTCTCCATATTCCACCATAGATATATAGAAAGCTTTGAAGAGGGTTTACTGCCAGCCTAAAATATATATTGTCAGTTTTATGAGTTCATTTGGACGTTTATTTAACTAGTGGGACTTATCACTCGCATTAAGAAGCTGACTAAGAATATATGTTTGCAGGGTCTGGGAATATTTTCTGTATGTTTATTATGGCAGCAAACATGCAGCAATAAAAGTATTTAATTAACTTTAAATCCTTTGTGGGCAACAAAAAGCATAGAAGCCTTTGTTTCATTTAGTGCCTTCATCTCCTAAGTTCCTCTGCACATTTCCTGGTGGTACCAGAGTTGTGTCTAATAACCATAAGTGATCCGCTCTGCGTAGATGCCAGCTTCTTTTTCCAGCGGATGTCGCTTGTCACACACATCAAGCTGTGTCAGTATTTTATCCCCACTGCCACACACACATTCTCGGGGAACACACACACTGACAAAGCCGAGCGCTCGCCACGCAGAGTGATTTAAGGCAAGTATTATCAGAGTGTTATAGGTCATTGTCTAAATGAAGCGTGGTCGAACAGTGGCAGTCTCATTTCCACCGCCTGACCTTTTCTTGCTAGATGCTGGCAGCATGAGCGAGCTACACAGCTGACATTAATGACCTGCTCACTCTCTTCTCTTTCTCTGTTTCTCTCCAGCCAGGCTTGTCATTTTATCACTCTCTTCTTCGCTCTCTCGCCGTGTTTCCTGACGTTTGTTCTGTGAAATTCTTGGGTGAAGTTGTGAAAAATAAATTGGAGCTTCCCGTTGGAAGACGCTGGCTGGTTGTTTTGGAAAAAATCACTAAATTGGATGTTGAAAGTTGATTGGTACCAAGTCACCATCACATTTTATTCTGCATTAAATCTTTTTAGACTACATTCACCCTAATTTAGTTTTAATTAAGAAGTGAATATTGAAGCGTTATAAAACATTAAATGTTTTAATCAGTTTTATATGAAAAATGTTACTTTATCTGCAACAAACAAAAATATTTCAGTCAAATTTTCATTTGCACTAGTATTTAAATGTTTTTGCTTTAAAAATAATTTATTCGATAATATTTGACTACTTTTGGAGAACGACTTCAGCCCTCCACATGTTCATGGTTCCATCTATTGCTAATATCAAGAATTAGGTTTTTGTTCAGGCAGAAATATCAGGGGGAATAACCTCAACATTTTGTTTCAGATTCTCTCATAAACATTTGCCAGCAATAAGCATAAATACATAGTCATTTCTCCAAACTTCCTGAATCCAGACGTTATATTTTCTCAATATTGTCTTGCGTGTAATAAATGCTAAAAGCTGCTGCGGTTTAATGCCTCTGCTGTTCAGAGCATTACCGAAGGAGCAAACAGAGTACCAATAAAGCCAGAAAAGCCAATAATGAACCAATAATATATGTTCAGTGAGATATTAGTCAGCTCCTCTCGTCTCCCTGCAGACTGTGGAGCGATGTCGTGCTCATCTTCTGCTGCTGATGCTAATGGTGGTGATGAAGGCAATGATGAAGGTGACGCCGCCGCCCAGCTCGTCTACCCTGGCCTGAAGTTCTGCGCCAGCCAGTACACCGACCGGATTTATCTCTACTCCAAGGTACTGCTGCTTATCATCATCTCGAGTGTGAAAAACGGTGGAGGGAGTATCATGCTTATTCTTATCAAGTTTAAGCAAATCATTTGGGAGATTATTAAATTCTTTTTTCTTCATTGTTTGAGGAAAGTTTTATTAAAATCATCCATGCCTCCACAGCTTTATGAGCTGCTAATAGCAGCAAAGCGCGTGCAGTTTTTTTCCACCTTCCAATTAGCCAGCAGGTCAGAGGTCAGAGTACAGCTTGAGGCAACATTGAGGAAGTCCAAGTTTGAAAGAATATATATAGTGTTTTGACATGATTTCCTGAGGTCTCGGTGAAGCGATTTTGTTCATAACAAATAAAAACCATCAACAGCGAATATGTTCTGGCAAAAACAAGATTTAGAGCTGAAGTTGGGAGTGGAAAAGGTCTCGCCTGCTGGTTTTAATTTTGACACATTCTGATTTTCTTTTTCGCTATTTATTACAGTACAGTTGGAATAACATTTTGTTCTTTAAGGATGGGAGTGTTAAATCCAAAAGAAAACATCAAACGTTATCTTCTGGAAGGTTTATGGAACATAACTAGGGCTGCAACTAACAATTATTTTAGTAATTAAGCAATTAATCTGCAAAACATATTTACAAACGTATTTTTATCATAAATGCAAAATGAATGCAGACATTGTATAGTTTGAATATGTTGATTTTGAAGCAAATTGCCTTTTTAAAGTTTCTATACTCCAGTTAACAATTAATTAACTCTTGAAATAGTTGATGTTTACTGAGCCTGTCTGCTCTAAACACAACTTATTTTAAAGAACTTAGACTGATTATAGTACAAGTTACTTTTGTTGCATTTAATAAATATGATTAAAAACCACATCAGGTGAATTTGGCTGCATTATTCTGCAGCTTTCCTCTGAAAAAAAAACTTATTTTAAGGGTTGAGGGAAAAACTACCAACAAAATACAGTTTCTTTTTATTTTGCAAACAGAAACATAAGTGTGAATTATTTTGCAAATCAAAAAAAGTGAAATTTTTCATAAGATACATCATTTAGGTTAGATTTATTTCTCTTTGTTAATCATAATTCAAAAATGTTTTGCATTTACTACCCTGATTAAATGTTTAATGCGCTTACAGTGAGACAAAAACATACAATTAGGTGTCAGTACAATGTAACGAAGTGTAATGGCCTTCATGCTTAACACGCTCACACCAATAGGAGGCTGTGTAAGCCATTTTACATGTTTTTCTTTATATGGAGATTTATTCAGGCTGTGCGGTAAAAGATAAAGCAAATGCATTTCTAAATCCATTCATATTCTTCAGCTAAATACAAGTCGAGGAAGTGGCAGAGGATTATTGGTGAGATTTAGTGAGGAGTAAAGAAGAACTTTGCTGCTGCTTCTTAAAAATATTGTTCTTGACAGTACTCACAAAATGCCTTCATTGGGGATTTCATTCACCATTTTTTAAAAAGTAAAAGAAGCAGCCAGCAGTTTTAAATGTGGGATTTTTTCTGCTTAACACATATTACCTGAGCCATAAACAGCCAAAGGTATCTTGAATTATTTTAAATCATTTTGGTATTAAGGACCGGAGGCTATAATCACTATTTATAAGAATTACCTTACTACATAACTCATTCATGAGGTCAAGAACATCTAAATCACTCTGGTGTAAGGTCAGAGGTCAACTGTAATGTTAACACCAGGCAGCCATGGCCCCTAATTGAAGGTTTCAAGCTGAATCTTCTCACATTGGCCAAGACTTTTGGGAAAGTCTTCACTGGATTGATGAGATTAAAGTGTTAACTTCTTGGAATATGAGAGCAGCAGTGAACACCACTGTTTCCATCTTGGAATTAAAAAGGTAAAAGTTTAGAATTGACATGTAAGGCAAATGCTTCTTCATTTGCATCTCAGGAAACCACAAGAGTTCTGGAACAACTGGACAAACAAAACCAAAATAAGATGTGACAATGACTCTTGATTCTTGAGGAGAATGTGTAACCTTTCTTCCAGATTGAAGAAACGTGAGACTCTTAAGTTTTCCAGTGATGACTTGTCTATTCCCTCTGACAACCTCCTTTTAAAACTGCTGAGTAAAGAGTCCTTAGCAAAGCATTTGCTGCTTACCTTGAAGAAGCAGATAAACGCAACGATAATCTTCAGTCATTTTGGCTTTCATTTGGTCACCAAGTCAAATGTTCTCATAATTGAACCTTCTGCTGCCTCCCTCCACCCATCAGATTAATACAAGCCGCAGTTTTACCCAAGCAAGACTCTAATTGCAGTCCTGTGCGTTCTTGGCACCCTATCCGAGTGACACTTGCCAACAGACCTCGGCATCGATCGCGTTGTGATACTTAACGGCCTTTTGTTTCATTCATGAGGGCTCGAGCTCCTTCCCCGCTCAAGCAGATAAGAGACGAGAGGGTTTTAAATAGAGCGGAGCAAAGCGCCGAAGTGAGGAACATTTCTCCGGCGGCAATAGACAAGTGTCATGTATGCGGGGCGGAGGCGATAAGCCATTGAGATAAATGTCCCCCGTTGTCGTTTAAATGATAAACTAGTAGAATTTTGGCTGCAAAGCTGTCACATTGGGATAATCCCGGGCCAGGCGTCTAATTCACTCAGGGGCATTGTTGAGTGCAAAACCAGATGAAGATTTGTCAGATGGGCTTGGAGGAAAAATATTGGGTGGATTAAGTGTTTTATGTCCATTTTCCACTGGTGAAATGGTAACTGTTGCCATTTGCTTTACGAATAGGTTGAAAATCTACCTGTTCCCTGTGAATTATTTTAAAACTTTGATGTATTTTAGTGTTTTGTTTTTTTTTTTTGACAAAGGAGAGTAAAGTAGAAAATTGAAAAATATTAATTTTTGCATCTGTGGGCATCAATTTTCAAGCCTTTCCAAAGATTCTCATTTGTATTTTTAGGTTTGGACTTTGACTAGGCTGTTCTAACACATTCGGATAGAAAAGATTCAGTTTATTATCTTCAGGTTTATTTATGTTTTTGGTGATTTTTTTAAAAAACGTTTCCATAAACAAGTCGAAATTACAGAAAAGAATACATACTAGTTCATAAGTTCCAATACAGCTAGTACTATGCCAACGAAAGAAAAACCTTTCTGTGGAAAAAATCCCGGACAATTTCATCAAGTCATTGATCCCTCCTCCTCGCTTCTTTTTACGTCAGTCCACAGTTTTTTTTATAGTTTCTATAGTCTTGGGAAATGTTGGATTCTGTATCTAACTCGTCTGTTTTTTTAGTTGTTTTGGATAATTTTATTTTCCGATTTTATTTTAAATGTTTTGACATGATGCCAAGCACTTTACAGTTCCCATGGCTTTTGGAGGAGTAACATGAAACCCAGATGCTTTTCTTTTGTTTCACCTGGAGTGCCTGTTTCCAAAAAGTTCAGATTTAATCTCATTTGACCAAAGCATCTGGTGCTAGTTAAAGTCCTGGAGGAATTTGGCGTTCTTTGCATGTTCGTGTTTCTGATTGTTGGACAGAAAAGCCTTTTTCCGAGCATCACTCTGAAACAATCTGTTGTTATGAAGACTTTGTGACTTTCTGTAGAACTAGTTTGTTTACAATGTTAAAATAATAAACTGGGGAGTACTCTAATGAAAGACAGTGATGAAGAGCAGGTAAATGTCTAAAACTGTTTGCTCCTTCTTTGCTTGTTAGTGAAGACAGAGACGCTCTTTTTCCGCCAACATCAAGCTCTAATCCTGCTCCATGCTGTTACAGCACAACCAGCTGCACCGTTCCCCTGACTCTCCATGATATTTATTTTCCCATAATCCAAATAAACACACGGGGCTCTGAGCAAGACCGCCGCAGCTCAGGAAAGACTTCCTAATGTTGATAGTGTAACGCTCACTGAGGCTAGGCGCCTGACTACAGCCAAATATAGCAATAGGCAATCAGAAGGGTTCGCCTGAGGAGCCCGTGCATGTGAATAAAACACCAACAGACAGATTGTAAGTTTAAGTCATTGTATTCAAAAGCATATCTTTGCATATATTTAGGGAGGTATTCAATAATAATAATATATATTTGTATTTTCCTATGAGTATAAACAATAATTACAACAAGAAGACAACAACAAAAATAAATCAATAATTAAACAAATAAATAAATAAATCCCGATAACACCCAAGAGTTCTTTTTCTTTCAAGTCCAGTACTTTACATGCAGAGTGATTAATGATCCACCAATCACAGTCCGACTAGGTCCTTTTGTTTTCCCTAGTCCATGATCCAGGGCTATAGGTCCAGAGAACTAAAGCAATTTGGTCCAAGTTAGTCCTACCGCAAAGCTGCGGTGATCTGGTAGCTCACCATCCTGGGTTGAAACCGGGGGTGGAAAAAAAACCTGACCTAAACAAGGTCATAAATAAAACAAATTAGCATGTAACAGGCTTAATCTGCTATTTGAGACACATAAACATTCATTACAAAAAATAGTTATATTCCATAAAGTACTTATCAGAAATGATTCAAATGAGTTTCAAATTAATCACATTAATGTTACAGATTAGAATCAAGTTACAGATCAAGTAGTCAGAGATCTAGTAAAATCACAGATCTAATAAAGTCACAGATCTAATAAAGTCACAGATCTAATAAAGTGCACTTTCAAGTTGTATCCAAGTTTAATTGACATTAAAGTCAATTAAACTTAATTGACTTAATTACTACTTCAAATAGTTTTTTTTTCTGTTTTGTTGCGCAACCCTAAAGAAATTAACCAATTCCAAAGTTCCATTGGCCGTTAACAAAATCAATGAAAAGTAACTAAAAGTATCCGTAAAGGGCAAATTTACAAAAATCAAAAGGTTTGCTTAATTCATTGAGAATATATATTCTATTCGGCCACAAAATTAACAAAGAAAGAATGATCTTTTAGTTTACAAGACCATTCTAAGACGCCAGTACATCATTTTAAGTGGGCGTGTCGCCACCGCATTTCTACTATACAAAAAAAACAAAAGA